CCAACCCCAACCCCAACCCCAACCCCAACCCCAACCCCAACCCCAACCCCAACCCCAACCCCAACCCCAACCCCAACCCCAACCCCAACCCCAACCCCAACCCCAACCCCCTGATTTGAAACTTTTAAAACATTATAAAATTATAAATTTAGCTTAAAATATTAATTTAATAAAATATTTTTAAATGAATAATAAAATTTCTTTAAAAAATAAAAAAATAGGTTTTTTCATTTAAGTTTACAAATAAATATTTTAATTTATTTGATAAAGAAAATATTTTGATTTTAAAATTAATTTATTTTACAAAATATAAAATTGCATCAGAATCTAAAGTTAATTTATTTGTTAAATTTAGCAAATAAAAAAACAAAAACTCATTTTTAAGAAGTATTTTTTGTCAGAATTTAGGTTTGTTGAACTAGAAGATTTTTGGTTATTTGAGTGGTCAGGCAAACAACAAAATTTAAAATAAAAAAATGAAAAAAATAAATGATTCTATTAATTATAAAATTTGTCTATTTTTTTTCTATATTATAAATAAAATTTTGTTTGTAATTCAACTTATGAAAAGAATATCTTAATTTTTAAACTAGTAAAGAGGGGAAATTAATTCAGAAGTGTAAAAAAGGTGATTTATGTTATTTTTAACTATATTTTCTGTGGATAAGTTAAAAAATTGCAAATTGATAAAATTTAAATATTTGATTATTTAAATATTAAAGTCAGAACAATTAAATACGATAATAACTTTTAGATTCTTGTATATAAAAGGAATTTGTTAGAAAATCAACTAAATTATTTGAGAGATATTAGAAAATATAGATATAAAATACACTAATAAGTCTTTTAATTAAAATAGAAGAGCTAGTGATTGATTAACTCTCATCAATTTTTAACATAATTTATAATTTGCTTGCAAATTTTAATTCTAACGCTAAATGTTGAATTTTTATAATGCACAAAAACCAACTAGCGTAAGTCATAAACAATTTATAAAAACAGAGTTGAAGATTATTATAGTGGTCAAGATTTTTTTCATTATTTCTATAAATATCCTTTTATAGGAGGCTGGTAATGATATTCGATTAAAATTGACATATATTTTTTATATTTATTAGTATATTTTTCAATAAATATATTATTTTAATTACATGAAATCCTCATAGAGTAGTAGTATTTTGATTTATTTAGCTAGTTCATAGTGCTTGGCATAATATTTTTTGACAGATTGAGAAATTTTACAAATATTAAATGGTTAAGAATACATAATATAGTTAAAAAAGTAAATTATGTAAGAATGAAGATAGTCTTTTAGATGTAGAAAAAAGAGTAAATAAATCAAAAAAATTGTTTAATTGATCTTTTTAATAAAAGTAAGTGCAATTTGTAGTGGTAGAAAATAATTAAAATCATGAAATTAATATATATATCTTGTATCTTTTTTACTTATGTTAATTAATAATTAATTTTTCAACTGTTTCAATAGATTTTTAAGAGTGGATACTATTGTCGTTCAAGCTAATTAAGTAGTAGGAGTAAAATTAAAATTAAGCTAGTTAGCCATATAGAATATTAATGATTTAGTTTACTTTTTTTCTTCTATGAGAGCTATAATAAAAGAATATACTATCATATCATCCAAATATAAAATAATTTTTGATATTTATTTGTTATTTTGTATATAATATATTTTCTTCTATCTAAAAATTAATGAATCTGATCATCCTTTTAGATGCTGACTTAGCGAATGGAGTGTGAAATTGCAACTTAAAAATATATGTTGCATATTTATTTATTCATTTAATAATTAATATTGTGGCTAAAAAGATAACAATTTCACAAGGAAAAAATAATAAATAAAGCTGGCTTTGTATTATTTCTTCCATAAATGTTAAAATTTAAATTTGTAATAGCTTGAAAAAAAATTAGCTATTTTTAGTATGAATTCAGTAAATTTTAATTAGATTTCCCTAATAATACACTCAGGGCTTAATATCATCTCCAGTTCATACTCAATATTTTATGTATTATCTTGTATTTGTAATAAGTTCTTATTATTAAATGCTAAGCAAAATATATTGCTTTTAGCTTGATTAAAAGTTATTCAAATAGCTAATTAACATGCTTTTAACAGTTAAAATTAATTTATTAATCTAAGCTATGTATTTAATATCTTTAACTTTTGTTTAGTCTTACTGACAAAAAGGGTGTGATAAAAATTATAATTTTATGCTAGTTGTTTTTTTTAAGCTATTCATCAAAATTAGATTTAAGAATCAGCTTATTTATAGTAAAATTAATTCTTTCTTAACTCAAATTTTCATTAAAAACAAATAGAAATTCACTTGATTCTATAAGAGGAGAATTGTATGCTAGCTTTTTTTTCAAAACACATTCACAAATGAATCAAATAAAAGAATTTCATATATTATTAGTTTTTCATGTGATAAACTTTTATAAAAATTAGCAAGAATTTATTGAGAAAATCCAATCATTTTATTTAATTTAAATATAAAACAATATTTATTTTTAGAAATTTCAATCACATAAATTCATTTTATTAGATATAAAAGTATTATAATATAGAATAATGTATTAAATAGTTATATATTTGTTTGATAGTAATTAAAGGCATTTAGATCTTTCTCACATGTGGCTTTAATTAAAAGTAAAAATGATGATTAAAATGTGGTTGAATTTTTAGTAAGAAAAAATTGTTTATTTAATCATATTTTATAAAAATCTGCCTACTTGATTGCTTTAACTCTTTTTATAAAATAAAATATAGTAATCTAATATTTCAAAAAGATGTGAGCTGAAATACATAAAAAATATACTTAAAATTTGATGGAATTTATTTGTTAATAACTGTCTATGATTTTTTAAAGTTAAAGATACAAAAATCTTATACTTAATTTGATTCAAAATTTTAAATTCATGTTTTTTTTTTTTTGAATCTCACTGAACTCATTTTTTTATGGATTCCAAGAGGAAAATATCTAGGTATTTTTAAGATTAACCTGATATCTTATAAAAAGTAGTAAAAATTATTTTAAATTCATGAATAATCCAATAAAATTTTTGAGATCTTTCAATATTTCCTCTAATCTTAAAATAGCTAGAATTTGATTTATATAAAATGTCTTATAATAAATATAATCTGATTGGATTATGTAATAAATGGGTGAACGAATAAAATGGATGAATGGGTGAATGAATTAAAGAAAAAATCAATGAACAAATGAATATTGAATCTTCTAAATGCCACAATTTATAAAAGAAAACTTATTGAACATATTAAATAGAATACATGTAATATTTACAAACAAGCATAATTCAAGAACTTTATCTTTTTTATAGATCATTTTTTTGATTAAAAGAAGCGAATAATTTATGAATTAAACATAAATCAGGTAAAATTGAAATTAAAATTTATGGGGGTAGGTTTTTAATTAGAAATCGAGTTTTTAAAGGAAACAAGCACGAAAGTAAAGAAATCATTAGAAAATCATTCATGTAAAAAAAAACTAATGAATTAGATAAGCAAAAAATATATAAATAATAAATATAAAATATTCAAGTAAAAAGGAAGAAGTATATTATGGGTGTATTGCTCGAATATTTTTTTATACGTGTATTTTTATAATTTACTTAAAATTGTTTCTCAATATTTTGTTTCATAGCTATGTAGACTAGGCTGGCTGGCCGAACGATAAAAATATGTAAATGTAAACTAGTGATATATTTTTAAATTGCATACAGTGCACAATAAAACTTCTAAGATTTATTTATTTTAAAGAGAAGTAAGTATGCCTTTAAATTAAATGAATTTTTAAATTCTACAAATAATTATAATTAATAAAACACAAAATAAATAATAAATCTAAGCTAATTCGTAACATCAACAATAACAACAACAATAAAAAAATGAGATTCTCAATTTGCCTTTTACTTGCTTTAGTATTATGTGCCTCCTTTACTTATGCTCAAAATTCTAACTAGACATATTAAAAAAAAAGTCCAGTCAGTCTCAAGGGTCCAAATGCAATTCCTGTTAAGTGCTCACTCACTAAAAATGAATGCGGATGCTGGTCCTGTTCCGCTGGATATTTAACATCATGCGTTTACGACTTCAGTAAAAGTGGATGCTGATCTAAATAAAATATTGAATGAATACCTTAAAATATAAATAAATAAATTTATTACTTCTACTTGTATTACTACATTTATTTTTATGTTTAAACATATTATAAGTTTAAATTACTTTATTACTTTCAAACTAAAAACCTCTTAATAAAATATTTTTATTTTATTTTTAATATCATTATTCGATATTGAATTTCTCTTTCTAATATCTAAAAAAAAAAGTTTGTAAATAAATATTCTTATTATAAGAATCGAAAAAAAAAAAAAAATGTTTGTTGTTATCTTTGAGTATTTTAGTTGATCAGAGAAATTGTAAATCACTTTTATTTACAATAAAGAAATTTTTTTTGTTTTTTCTAATCAAGCTATTTTAAGGATTATTTTATTTGCTGTGTTCTGTGAATTTTGCTGATTTTTAATTTAGAAAATACAAATTGTAAGCAAAAATAATAAATATATTGTATTTTGATTTTATTTATTTTACCAAAGAGAAATATATATTTTTGATATAAACTTACATTAGTTGATTAATTCTACTAAAAAGTTGTATGCTGCTAAGATCATAAAATTTTTGTAAAGATGAGAAGACAGTATATGTTGATTATTTATTTATTAAGTTATATTTAAATGAAAAAATGGAGAATGTGATTTAAAGTTATTATATTAGTAAAATTAATAATGCTAGTAGTAACAAATAGGTATATATGTGTTGTAATACAGATAAAATATTATATTATTGTAATTGTATTCATTATTATACATCACAAGTCCAGTAGCAGTAGAGATTATTGTCAACTTAAAAGCAGCTCCAGCAAGTGCATGAGGGATCAGAAGGATCACAGGGGCACAAACTTTAGCTTGGATCGCAATCACTTATATTTGCAGAATTGAATTGGTAAGCAGTAGATACATTAGATGATTAGGTCATTCTGAAATTACCAGCTTGAGCTAAGCAAATTAAGGCGAATAAAACGAGGATGGTTAATTTTTTCATTTTTTAATTGTTCAAGTAATATATTTTATTTTTTGTTGGTTTGATTGATTGAATTTTGTTTTATCTTTATTTTTTTATTTTTTTACTTGAAATAATTGTTATAAATCTTTTTGTAGATTCTAATTTAAAGGTATCCGAATTAAGAAAGAGAGCTTGAAAAGACAAACATGACCAGCTTTATTCGAGGATGCCTAAATTGCTGGACTCATATTTAATTTAATTTTTACAAGGAAAATTAAAATTGTTCAAATTCTGAATAAATTGTTCATATATCATTCTATATATACTAATTTATTTATTTACCTTTACTTATCTTATTTTTACCCTAGTGGGTAAGAATTTTATGTAAATTATTTTCATGATTATATTCTCTTTCTTTTGGAAATTGCAATTTCAAAACGTAGATTAATTTACATTAGATATCCTAGAATCAATGAATCAATCAACCAATCACTCAATCAAATTCTATCCATTATGTAGCTGGTTTATTTTTCGACATTTTGATGGGATTTATCTTGTTTGAATTTTTCATAACTCTTCGTTCAATATAAGCCATAACATAAATGTCAATACTCCTATTCAAAATTTTTATAAGCTAAGTAGCCATGCGACTAATTTTGAGAAAAATACGATGTTCAAGTGCTAGATTTTATAATTAGACTGTACTTTCTTTAATACATTTTCTAATACTTCTCTTTCATATAGTAGTTTCACTACATTTGAAAGTTATTGATGCATTTAATTTATGTTAATTAGTAGAATATATCACCAACAAATTATTAGAAAAAACATTTCTTTTTATCAAATTTATCGCTCATAAATCTAAAAGTGACAGTCTTAGTTGAAGTACAGCTCTTATTTTGATTTGAATAACACTTCTGTTTAAGCTTATATGAATTTTTAACTAAAAGTACAATTTATGACCTGTTGATATTTATAGACTCTTATCAATTTTTCAATTCAAGTGAAAAGCTGAACAACTTTTAAAAAAATATACTTTAACATTAGCTTTAAATTGAGGAATTCCAAGAAATAAGTAAAATATATAATTAAATTAAAAATTAAACAAGTAAAATAAAAAACAAACAAATAAAGATCAAACAAACAAAACAAATCACTTCTCTAAAAAGAATAAAAATGAGATTTACATTCGTCCTTTTGGTTGCCTTAGTTTTATTATCAACCATGACCACTGTTAATGCTACTACATATGTTAAACGTCCTGTTTCTCTACATGGTATTGGTGCCTATAAGGTCTAATGTTCCATGACTGATCCTTCTTGCGCTTGTTGGGACTGCTATAAATATGGTTTAATCATATGCAAATATTTATGTGGTGCTAAATGAAATTACTAATACTTATAATAATAATATAATATTTAGATTAATATTATCTTATACATATCTGTTTATGAGTGTATTATTACTTCTTACTATCAATTAATATATCAATTAAATCAAATTTCTTTTTTCATGTATTTATAAACAAAACAATATTCTAATATACTCGCAAATATTTACAATCATAAACAAAATTTTTAAATTCATTACTGAAACAATAATTAAGTGAATACCACATTCATTTGTAAGCTTAAATCTCCAATTTAATATGTAAGCTAAAAAAAATATGGGCTTTTTAATTGTCTGAATCTATAATTTTTATGAGTGCAAATTATGAAGTTAAGGAAACAAGATATTATAAATAAGGAAATTCAAAAATAAAATTGGTTTTCATTTTAATTAGAAGTGTTAGATATCTTATTAAATATTAAATGAAGTCTGAAAAAAATAAATGAAATTCATTAAATATTTTAATAAATAATTGAATAATCTAATATAAATAAAAAGTAGTCAATTGAAAAATAATTGTTTGAATATTAATTATAATTTCATATTTATTAATTTTTATTTTTTTTATTTTTTTTGTTGAAAGAATATTTATTTTTTATTCTCATTTAAACAAAACAGATGTTTTAAACAATTTATATAAAAAAAGAAATTATTATTTTATATAAAAAAAATTTTATGAATCAGTTATTAAATAATAAATTTTGTTTTTTTAATCAAAGTTTTCAGTCTAAAAAAAAGTTTAATTTAATAAATAATTAAAATATTTTTAAAAATATTAATTAAATTTAATAACAATAACCATTTCTCAATAAACGTTTATTTAATAATTATGAATATTAAAATTATTAACAAGAAATATTATTTAATATTATAAATTTGTATTCATTTTTTTAATTTGAAATCAATTAAATTTAGATAGCATATTTAGTTAATAAAATATCTACTAATCTAGTTTTGATTAGGAGTTCAAGTATTAGATAAAGCCAAAGCTAATTATTTTCTAATTTTTAAAACATTTATTTTTTAAGCTATTTTTAAAATGTTGAAAAAAAAATACTCAAATTAGTTTATATTTATTTTTAACTTTTAAAATAAAATTTGAAATTAATAAATTTTTTTTATTTTGATAAGAAAAGGTACTTTCTGATCATTATTTTTTAATGTAAATTTAATCAATCCCTAAATATTAAAAATAAAATTAATAAAACATATTTATGAAAAACAATAAAATTTCATTATTTTGAAAGGTATATTCTTTATTAATTATTATAAACATAACATTAAAAAAGAAAAGGGTAACTACTGCACAAATAATCCTAATTGTGAATAAGGAGATTTATACCTCATAAAGAAAGCACATACTATTTTAATGATGAATACTATTAAAATTTAAGATATAAATAAGTATTGTAAATACTGACACCAATTCATCAAATATTTATCTTTTGAATGTTTGTATTTTAAATTTAATTACAAAATTTTAACAAAAATGTTAGAATTAAATTTTCTAAATTAATGAAGTAATTAAAATTAAAACATAAATATTGTAAATGGTGACACAAATAAATTCATCAAATGTTTAACTTTTAAATATCTGAATTTTAAATTAAATTAAAAATTTTAACAATAAATCAAAAATATAAATTGATAAAGTAATTACAATTAAAATTGATAAGTTTAGAATTTCTATTACTGCATTTTTACTACAAAATAGTCCATTTATAAATTTTAATAATATTTGGATTAAATTCATGAGTATTTAAATATTATCTATACTTTTAATTTCAATTATTCACAATGAAATAAATAATTTAAAGAATAAAATAAGAAATTTAAATAAAATAAAGACTTTCTTTAAAGTAAATTAAATTTTGTACAAGAAAAAACTACAAAATGAATTATAAATTGTAAGAAAATAAAGAAAAAGATAGAATATTTTATTATTTCATAACAAGAATATATAACCAAAGAACTTGCTGACTTTTCAATTTTTAGTTTAATTAAACTTTTTAAGAAAAATAAAATATGAACTTAAAAATTTAGATCATTCAAAAAAATACTCAATAATTAAAATTTATTTAGAAAATTTTACATTCTATTTTGATAACATTAAATAACAGATAAAGTCAATATTTATAATTAATTAGTTTCATTATTGATAGCAAATCCAAAAATTTATAACATTCTAAAGAAAATTATTTAAAATAAAATATATACTTAATAGAAAAAAGATAAATAAATTAATATAAATAAATAATTAAACAATTAATTAACATTTTGATGATTTAAGAATAATTAAAAATAAAAAGCAGTTTTTTTACCTCAACTAAAATTAATTTAAAAAAATTTAATTACTTTTCTAAAATAATTTAAAAGCATATTGATACTTATTAAATACTTTAGATTAGCTAATTACTATAAATACTCATTAATTAACACTTTCTATTATGTTTTAATAAGACTAAAATGGTTTTATAAAAGATTTTTTATGAAATTTTGCCAAAAATGGTGCTAAATAATGCTTAATAGGATGTTAATTGTATTTCTGTTTCAAAAAACGATTACTGAAATTTGTAAAATTTAACTAAATTTCTAAGAAAATTTATCAAAAGCCAAAAAAACTTTCAGGATGATTCATAATGCCTTATTTATTAACACAAACTGAAAAATCTCTATTTTTTTATTATTTTTTGATGAAAAATATTTTTTTAATATAAGAAATTTTGGTGTTAATTAATGAGGATTTAATTAATTTAATTTAATTTAATTTTTAATTCATTGAAAATGTTTTTTTAATTGAATAAAAAATCAAATTTATCTTTTTAGAAAAGTAATGATGAATTATTAAGCCAAAAATATACTTCTACTTTTAAAAATATTATTTACATGCTTAATAATAAATTTTAATTTTGCATAAAAGTTTATAAAATATTAATTCAATAGAAAATAAAATTATATTTTTAGTTAAATTTTACTGTTTCATTAGGTAAAAATACTCAATTTTATAAATTAGTACTTTTTTAATTAATTTGGGCGTTTATTTATAGTGTATTTCAATAATTAAAAGTAATTAATTTGATAAGTTAAATAATAAAAATAATGGTTTATTTAACTGTAATTTTTTTAAAACAATTTTTTAACTTTATATTTCATTTCTTGTAAAATCAAAAATAATAGAAAAATGTTTTAAAAATATTTTCATAAAATTATGAATTATTTATTAAATTATTTTTGACTGATGAAATTCTTTCACTTATTAATTTATTTTTATTACTTTAAAATAAATAATTGCTAATTACTTTGCTTTTAATAATTCTAAAAAATATATTTTAATTTTACTAAAAAAGCTAATTTAAAAACTATTAGATTAGACTAGTTTAAATTATATTTGCCTAAGATAATTATTATACTTATTTCTTACACCAACTGCAAGGCACTTAGAGTCAATTAATTATTACTAGTAAATAAATGCTTTTAGCTTACTAAAACTGTATTTACTTTTTTTATTTTCAGAGAAATTTATCTATTATTATAATTGCTATCCAATTTTAACTTAATTTGCTATCAACATTTAAAAAACGCTATGATATTAAGCTAAAAAATGTATTAATTCATATCAAATGTGTTTACTTTTTAAAATTGTTGAAATGTGATTTTGTAGGTTGATCATACTTACTTATGTCATTTTATAATATGTAATTAAGAATATTAATAATTTAATATACATTTAAATCATTTAAGTTATTTTACAAAATTAAAGATTTATTTGTTTTTTTTGAATTAAATTATAAAATTAGTAACAATGTTTCTAATCCAGTAAAAATCAAATAGAAAAATTTTTAATATTATTAGATAATAATGAATAAATTATCAGTTAATTAAGTCAGCTTAGATCATCTAAGAATTCTCTAACAAGCTATATTCTAAAAATAATGATGTATTTATGAAATTTAATTTTATACATAAACAAATAAATATTAACTATTGATATTTAATCTTGCTCAAAAATTTTCTCTAATAATTAATTACTACAATTAAAACAGAATTTCTTATCACATTAAAATAAAAATATATTTTTTTATATATAAAATAATCTTTGGTTTAACAATCTATTTTATAAATTTTGAATATTTACTAATTTATTTTTAAAGAAATATTAAAATGTTTAAGCTATATATGTTAATAATTATTGAACCAAATATATATAATATCCATTAAATATAATGTAAAGACTTTTTATTTATAACAATAATTATATAATCTTTTCAGCTATTTAATATGTTAAAATAATTACAAATAAAGATGATTTATTTTCAAAATTTAATTATAATAAATATTTTTTGATCATTTTAGATTTTGTTTTCATAATGCTTCTCCTTTATATTGATACATGTATTTTTTCTATTTGAATTAGCTTTTTAATATTTTGATAACTCAAAGGCCACTATTTAATTAATAGAAAAAATTATTTGATGGCGAATATTATCTTGGTGTAAAAATAGAGCTTTTCAAATACTTGATTAATGTAAGAATCATTAATATAATTTATTTTAATAAATTTTGAGTTATTTAAAATAAAATGCTTTAAATTATCTTTCATTCAATTTAGAATTTATTTCATGAAAGCATGGAATTTGATACAAACAGCCAAACTTTATTTTCGTTTTTACTGACTAAAATAATTGATGAAATTAATACTTGCTCAATCTATTATATTCACTTTGTTTATTTTACTTGATTCTAATTTTTTAGTTAGCTATAATCAATAGTTTTTATCAAAGAAATTGTTTGTTTTGAACGAATCAGGTTTAAATCAATCAATTAATTAATTAATAAACAAATATCAATTAATTAATTTTCTATTTAAATAAACTTAATACCCAGAAATCAGCTCACTATGAAAACATCAGATAAGTTAATTAATTTTTTTATTATATTTTTTCTTTAGTTAATAGTAAAGGTTTTGTTTGCGAAATCTCTTGATATGTAGAACAATATCACTTGATTATTCAAATTCTATTATTTATGTTATATTTTTAATATGTTTTAGTTTACATCGAAGAATTGTTGAGGCACTGATCTCAATTACTCAATTTTACTTTTATGTTTAAAAAAATATTTGTGTTTTCAGTTATTTATCTGTCTATTTTCACTTTTAAATTTCTCAGAGAAATTTAAGTTATTTCAAAGCGCATCTATAAAAAAAGGTTTAACACATGGAAATATTATTAGATATTAATATAATAATTAACATAAAAACAATTTGATTAAAAAAACTAAAAAAATAATTAATTTTAAAAAATGAGATTTGCTAGTATCCTCCTACTAATTTTGGTTGTTTTCTCTTGTATCTGCAATGCCCATGTTTTTGATGACGACAGTAATGATCCAGGATATGATAGATCTAAATTAAAATGCTCGTACAGTGAACCTGGTTGTAAATGCTTTAAATTAGTCCCCAAAACTAAAGAGCGTAAAGCACATCTTATATACGTTTGTGATTTCAATGATTGAAAATGTTGGCTCATTGTTTATAAATTTACTTAGATTGCAAAAAAAATAAAAATAAATATGTTTTGAATATAAAATAAATATATATTTTTCCTTTATTATCATATCAATTAATAATACTAAAATTTCAAATGCAAATAATTTATCATTTTTACTTAATTTACATAATTTATTTATACATATCTATTGCAAAATAATACTTTTGAAAATTTCTTAATTTATTAAATAACTCAATTAATTATTCTTTCATAATCTTAAAAATAACATAAATTAATTTGATTGAAAAAAATAATAAAAAACACATAAAGAATGATTTTATGTTTTAGCCAAGTTTTAAAATTGCTTAAACTATATAAATCTTCTTTTAATGGTAGCATTAATCTTGGAGGAAAGATATAACAGATCCTTATAAATTAACCTATATTTTTATATGAAAATTTTGTTAAAGCTGTATTTTTGAAATAAAAATCAAAATTTAAGTTTAAAGAATCATTAAAGTATTTAGAAAAATATTTATTTAACTTAGAAGAAATGTTTGTTGGAGCTCATAAACATCTTAAGGTTTGATCATATTCTCTCATTATTATTTTCTCTTAAAATAGCCTGAAAATCAAGGAAATAACTTAAAAATTTGTCTAGAAAATTATTAAAAATACAAAAATTTAAAAATTCATTTATTTATATCACTTTCAATTAATCAAATTATTAATCTGCAAACTAATTTAATATTTCCCCTGATTTTTATTGAGATAGATTGATTATAGATAAATTGGCTTTTATGTTAATGATTCTAATTATTAAATCAATTCGTTTTTATTTAATTAAGTAAATATTATTTCTATCTCATTTATTTTTTTAAGATGAAATGAAATTAAGATAAATCCTATTTACATTTTTCTTTAAACACTTAATAATTGTGCATAAATTTTTCAGAATCTAATTTTTCATTTTTAGTAAGAATATAATAAAAATTGAATAATTCATTGATGAAATAGAAATTAAGCGAATTAATAAATTAAACCAAATGATTAAATACTTAGAGCTTAAAAAAGAATCTATAATTATTTTACATATTATAACTCTTTTATTTAATTTATTTATTTTATTTTAAAATATCATTTTTTCAATATTTCTACAAATACCATATTATCAAAAGTATGATTTACATTTTATTGATAAAACAATAAATATGGTATGATAGTCAATTTTTAATAAATAAGGTTTTTAATTTATAAAAAAAAAAACTTTATATACATTATAATATTATAAATTACTACTTAAGGTAATAAATAGTTGATTAAAGTTTATTAAGATATTTTAAATAAACAAATTTATTAATTTAAACCTTGAGTATTATAATAGCATACATAAATATAGTCCTCTTTGATATTTTGATAATTATTTTGGTGTCTAATAAGGTCTCATTTATTTCATTTTCAGCCTAATTAACATCTCTAAATTTAATACTAAAAAAGTTATCTACAGTAAATAGAATAAATTACTTTATGCTCCTCTAAAAATAACATATAAAATATAAATAAGTAAATATTAATCAAATTAAATACTTATTAATATAGAATAAACTTTCTATTTAATTTTGGATAGGAGAAGCTAATTAATATTTTATTAAAAGAAATATAGACAATTATTTAGCTTTAAAAAATATATTATATTTTTTTAATATAAGCTAAAGCTAGTTAGTTATTTGTTGAAAAATTGATGGAATCTTTGAAAAAAATTTTTAGATTGTAAATTTTTTAATATTTCATTTTATTTATGAATGAAGATAGAAAAGTAAATACTTAGAAAAATTGAAAATTATCCAAAATTAAAAAGGCATTTATCTCTACTTATTATGTAAATTTTAATATAAATCTCATTGTTTAGTTTTGTCTGTCTAAGCATAATTTCAACATTTTTAATAGATTTTTATAATTCAATTTTTATTTAATTGAAATATAAATTAGAAAAATGTTATTTTTTGATCAAAAAATAATTTAACATACATAACTTTAAGGAAATTTAATTTTATTTTTTTCATTTATATTTTTAATTACTTTAAATTTTAATTTTCAAATATTTCTATTAAAAATGTTTAATTAAGGTAAATTAAGTTGTATTTATGTATAAAACTGTTTACTAAAATGAAAATTTTAAATGCATGTATTTAAAATATTTTTAAAAAATATTATTTCTCATAAAAATTAATAACACGAGCTCATAAATGTGTGCTACTATTCCAAGCATATTAAATTTCCTGGATACTATGATGTTCCTAAAGATACTAAAAGAGGCATAAAGTGGTCATCACTATGATGCATATAATTATACAGTTTGTGCTATTTGATAGCAATTATAGCATCTTTTCTTTTTTTTTCATCTTTATCTGTAATTATTTGAAGAAGACACTTTTCCCATTCTTTAGACCATTCTGTAAATTAAGGATGATGCCAGTAAGTAAAAGAGTGAGTTGATTAGCCACTATTAATTATGATTGTATTTTCATCTCTAAACTATTCTAAAATTTATCCTATTTTATAATGAAATGCTGTATCCATTCCAGAATGGAGACTCACTTATACTATCTAAGGAGCATATTTTGTATTGCTTTGAAAGGCCTTTTGTTATTCTCCTATGTCATAAAGACAGAAAAGTCCACCCCAACCTCCATGATCTATATCTTCTGATGTTGTTGTCTTAGCTTAAATCTTATTATCCAATAATTTTTGATGGATCTATTTAGCTAATTCCACATTTGTATCTAAAGAAAAGTTATATTTGTAAAGCCACCTGCCTGGGTGGTCATGCACTAACTTAGGATGAGGATTTAGATTGATTGTTACTTATTTTTCTTCCCAGTGTCCTGATATTATTATTGCAGTTTTAATTCTACTTCGCAATTTGTTATCTTTAGCATACTTATCGAGACATTTATATAGCTAAGTTTCTGGATTTAAAGTTTATCCAACATCTCCATGTGATATAAATAAGCTTGGTAATCTGCTAGTTTTAGACTCCATTTTGTTTTGAATGTTTTTTACTATTTAATGCCAAAATAAAAGTAGTAAATATGAATCCTTCCTTTTTCACCTAAAAATGTTTTTTATTTTTTGTTTTAACAAATATTTGATTATAGCAATTATTATTACCTTTGTTATAAAATGAGTGGAGAATTAATAAAGTAGAACTAAAAATTGTTTGTTTCATATCATTAATTAAGAAGTTTGTTTATTTTTTAATGCATAATATTCATTTAATGAACTGTTTTATTATATCAATTCTATCTATTACTTTTCTATATCTTATTAAAATTTGTTAAAATTAAAATTACAAACAATATTTTTTTCGATAGATCATTCATAGAATCTTTATCTAATAAATTCTTTAAAAGCAAAGAACTAAATAAAAGTAATTACTCAAAAAATCCTTGCAAATGAGTAAACCTTTGAAATCTTAATTAATGATATAGATAGCTAATTTTTGATCTATTTGTTTTTTTTGTAATAGTAAAACAAGTAAATAAACTTTTAACAAAAAACATGATTTTATAGTATTCTCTACCGTTCTATATTTTTTAATCAGAAATCTAATTTAGGCGAAAATTGTAATTATTCAATGAATAATTAATCAAATTCATCATTCAAAAATACTTTGAATATTTTATATTGTATTTTTCTAAAGAAGTGTTGCTGGTTGTGATAATCAAATTTATTTAAAAAATAAAATTCAAAAATTATTGATTGTTTATGATGTTGATCAAAATTTGGTGTTAATTAATAAGGATAACAGTATTTAAGAAAATTCTATCAATAAAATTTTTTTTAATTAATTTTATATCAACATGTAAAATAATGAAATTTATTATAATAAAGATAATCAACCATAAATTTAGCTATTTTCTAGTTTAAATTATTAAATAATAAACATAAAAATATAAATTACATAAAAAAGAAATTTTATATAGAAATTAAAATATTTTTATTTTCTTATTTATTTATTAGTAGTACTCTTTTCATAACTTATTTGTCAATATAAATATATACTTTTAACGACTAATCTCTTTAATTTAAGAATTTTTTTCATTAAGTTTGGAGAAGAACTTTATTAGTGAGACATACTTTAAATTTAAATATAATTTAATGTAAATTCAAAATCAAAATATATTTATATTTAAAATAATTTAAATTAAATTAAAAATTTAAATTAAGAAAAACTAGCACAATCAAAATTAAATAATAGAAATTTTATTATATTGAAAAAAATATTTTTAATCAATTAATTAGTTAGTTAGAAGGAAAAAATGTAGAAGAAGGATTATTAAATAATAAGAAATTTATTTATGATGAACAAAAAATTAAAAATTAAATTTAAAATTAAATGCATAATAAGAATCAAAAGCCTAATAAATTAAACAAAAGCCTAAACCTTAAATAAAGTAACAAATTTGAGAGATTAGTGCATTTTGCTAAAGCAGAACCTAAGAATGATACACTCTTCGCACTAAGTTATATATAACTTTTTAAAAATTGAAGAAAATTTAATTAATTAGTTAGTTTGGTAGATAGAAAGAAAGAAAAATATAAAATAATAAGAAATAAATTAATTAATAATCAGAGCAATTCTTGAAAATTAAAAAATAAATGATTTAAATTAAGAAAAAAAAAATACAATCTTAATTAAAACAAATAAATTAAATAAAAAGAAAAAATTTAATAAATAAAAATGCCGAATCCAAAATAATAAACTATTTTTACCAAAGATGAAGTTCTAAATTTGAGAGATTGATACACTTTACTATACCAGAAATCAAGCTACATGCAGATTCATCATTAATACTATTACAACTTTTTAAATATTGAAGAAAATATAATAAATTAAAAGGAAAAATTTTAAAATGAGGTAATAAATTAAGATGATAAAACATGATCTGAGCTTAAAAGCATATAATTACTGTAATCTTCCATTAAGAATTTCATATCAGTTACGAGGTAAGGGTCAAATTTTATTTATTTTTGTCTTTAATTAGTAAAAAAATAGCCCTTACAAATTTCGAGCTTACGGGGTTTTACGGTTAATAAAAAATTATTTTTAATTCATTTTGTATCACAAGATATTTCAACATATAACAAATAAATTGATTTTACTTAAGATTAAGGTTCAAATATGTGAGTTAAGTGAAATTTTCTAAAGCTAAATCTAGGCATGATGTATCTTTCGTACCCATTTTATTCCAACTTTTTAAAAAATAATTTTAATAATTAGTTAGGAAGGAAATGAAGAAAAAGTATGAAATAATAAATTAGAAATTAATTAACAATCTAAGCAAAATTTTTAAATGAGCTAAATTAATTTGAAAAAAACTATTATCAAAAAGCAAAAAAAGAAATAAATAAATACATAAATACATAAAAATATTATTATTTTTAAATTAATTTTTATATGAAAAAATATGAATAAATTAAATAAACAAAACAAAAAATTTAATTTACTGAAGATCAATAGTCAACTTTTAAAGATAAGTGCAGTTTGATAAAGCAAAACCTAAGCCTGAGGCACCTTTATATCCAATTTTATTATTACTTTTAATAATAATAATTAGTTTTTTAAAGGAAAAAATATGAAATAATAAGGAATTAATTAATTAGTGATCTAAAGATAGATTGAAATTTAAAAATAAGTTAAATTAAGAGTAGAAATATAACGTCATAATCTAAATCAAAAAATAAATAAGCAAACTAATAAAAACCTGCTAAATAAATTAATAAATAATATTTATTGTTTTAAATTCATTTAATACTAAAAATTATCACAATCAAAAACAAATAAATTATTTTTACTAAAGATAAAGAGTCAAATTTTAGAGATTAATGCACTTAGCTAAAGCAAAACCTAATTCTAATGTACCTTCATTATAAATTTTATTATCACTTTTTAAATATTTAAAAATATTTTATTATTTACTCTAAAGAAGAAGAAAAAATATTAAGAAATAAAAAATTAACTAATAAAAATAACAAAGATTAGAATTAAATAATTAGTTAAATAAAAAAGATCTAAAATAATCAAAAAGTAAGCAAATAAAATAAATAAATAAATAAATAAATAAATAAAAAATTGATAAATAAATAAGTAAAAATAATTTTATTAAAATAAATTTCTTTTTATGCTAAAAAATATAACACATAATCCATAATAAAAAAATATTTTACCGAAGATTAAGAGTGAAACTAGATAGATTAATGAAGTTAGCTATAGAAGAACCTAATTCTAACATACCTTTGTCACCAATTTTATTTCTGCTTTTTAAAGCATTTTAAGAAAATATAATTAGTTAGAAGAATAGAAGAAATATGAAAGAATAAGAAATCAATTCTAAAAGAAAAGGTAAAACTTAAAAAATAATTTAAATTAACAAAATAAAACATACACAGAAAGAAACAAAAATCTAAAAAATAAAATAAAAAAAAAATTTATAATAATGTGTTTTATTGCTTTAAACTCATTTTCATATTTAAAAAATATCACCATCCAAAACAAATAAGCTCTTTTTACCTAAAGTTAAGTATCAAATTTTAAAGATTTCTACATTATGTTAAAGCAAAACATAAAGATGATGCCCCCTTTGCATAAATATAATTACAACTTTTTAAATAGAAAAATTAAGAAACAATAAGTAATGTATTAATTAATATTCAAACCAAAAATGGATAATTTAAAAATTAATTAAATTAAGAATAAAAATATACATATAAAAAGCAAATTAATCAAATAAAAGCTAATAAATAAATACATATATACAAACAAACATAAATAAAAATAATTTATTATTTTAAATTCATTTTTTATTTAAAAATATCACTACTCAGAATAAATAAAAATAAAGTATTTACGTAACATCAAGGGTCATTGTTTAGATGCTAGTGAATTTTGATACAGCAGAAGCTAAGATTAATGCACCTTCTTGGCCAATTTTATTTCCACTTTTTAAGTATTGAAGAAAATATAATTTTTTAGAAGGAAAAAATGAAGAAAAAATAGGAGTGAAATATTAAGAAATGAGTTAATTAATTATAGTAAAAAACAAATAAGCTGTTTTTACCCAATTTCAAGAGTCAAATTTAAGAGATTAGTGCATTTTACTAAACCAGAAACTAAGTTTGGCATACCCTTTGCACCAATTTAGTTTCCACTTTTAAATATTGAAGAGAATGAAATTAGTTAAAATTAAAAAATATAAAATAACAAGAAATTTTTAAATAACTAAAAAAAACACATTTAAGAATCAAAATGAAATCAAATCAAATAAATAGTTTTAAATTCATTTTTATATTTAAGAGTGTCTGTCTCCATCCTAAATTTACAAACTATTTTTTTACCTTAGAAAAAGTGTTAAATATGAGAGATTAGTGCACTTTGCTAAAGCAGAAGCCAAATCTGATGCAGTTTCTTAACCAATTTTATTTTTACTTTTTAAATATTGACAAGTATATAATTAAAAAATGATAAAATAATAATAAATTAATTCGTTCATAATCATATTTTGAAAATTGTAACAGAAATAAGTTAAAAGAAAAAATAAAAGCATTCATTTTACCGAAAATTAAGAGTCAAATTTGACAGGTCAGTACAGTTTACTAAAGCAGAACCTAAGCTTGATAAGCCAATTGAACTTGTACCAATTTAATTTCTACTTTTTAAATATTGAAGAAAATATAATTAATAGGAAAAAATACATTAAAAATATGAAATAATACTTAAGTAATTAATAATCAAACCTAAAATTGAATATATTAAAATAAACCCAATCAAATCAAAAGCAAATAAATAAAATAAAAAGCTTAAAAATAAATTAAATGAATTTATTACTTAATAAATTTTTAAATTAAAAAATATCACAATTATAAAACAAATAAACAATTTTTACTCAAGATTAAGTTCAAGATTTGAGAGATTAGTGTATTTTGCTAAAACAGAGCTTAAGGCTGATAAATCTTCTTCACCAATTAATTTCATACTTGAACAATTCAAGAAATCATAATAACTTAGATAGTTAAATGGACAAAAGTAAGTAGAATAAGAAAAAAAAGAAATCATAAGAAATCAATTAATAATCAAAGCAAATGCAAAAATCAAAAAAATAAATCAATATAAGCTAAAAAAACATAATATAATTTGTAATATAGAGTAAAAATAAGAATATTTTTATTTGAAAGATTATATTTTATATGGATTAATTCTCAAATATAAAAAAAATAAGATTAATAATAAGAAATTTAATTTACTTCAAATCAATATAGAGAATTGAGCAAGATAAAAAAGATGAGTTTAAAAACTTTTTTATTTAAAAAAGAAAATATAAAATGAAAACTCATTAAAAGTAATAATTACATCTTATAGATAATAAAAGTTTTATTTCTATTATATCATTTTTTTTCTTCGAGATTATTCAATAACAATTTTATTCAAATTTAATCTAACTAAATAAATATTAAGAAATTCATTTATTTTTAATTAAAGTTTTGATACAAAGAACGAAAAGAAAAAATAAATATTAGTAGATAAAATATCAATTTATAAAATTTGATTTAATTAAGATGTCTAAATAAATTGCTAGATAGATTTAATTTAATTATCAAATCTTAATACTTCTAATTCAGCTTGTATATTCAAAAAATATAAAGAATAAATAATAGGAATAGATTGAAAAAACTATTAATTAATTATTTGAATTTTAAAAAATAATTTTTATATTAAAGATTTTTAATTAATAAAGAAAAATAAATTAAATAATAATAGTAATTAAAAAAAATAAACTTAATATGTTGAGCATTCATATAACTTATGTATGTCTCAGTTAAATTAAAAGGAGTGTACGTGAAAATTTATATGGTATTTAATTTAATTTTTTAACATTTTTATATTTAAAGCATCTTTAAAGTAGTTTTTAACATATTTAATATTAAACTTCTTGACTTAAAAAAAGTGAATATAGTGTAGGAAGAATTAGCTTCTGAATGGATCATTTAGCCTAAATTACTACGCATATAATAATGTGAAAAAAATTTTATATTTTAAATTAAAAATTTTAAAAATCAATACAAAATATTTAAAAGCAATCATAAAAAATATATTTTTTTTTTGAAAAATAAAAGTTATTAAAAATTATTTAACTACTTTGAATTTTAAGGATAACGATACTGCATACTGAAAATAAAGTTTTAAATTAAAATTAGTTTGTCTTAATGATTTAATTAATCATATAAAATCAAAATACTTAATCTTAATGTAGCTTTTATATTATATAGATTTCATTAAAACGAATAGCAAGAGCACATAAATGTAAACTATTATTCAAGACAAATTAGCTCTCCTGGGTACTTTGAAGTACCTAAAGCAACTAAAAGGGGCATAAAATGATCATCGCTGTGATGCATGTAATTATACATTTTATGTTATTTAATAGCAACTATTGCATCTCTTCTTTTTTACTCATCTTTATTAGTTACTATTTCGATTAGATACTTTTCCCATTCTTTTGACCAAGCAGTAAATTAAGGATGATTCATATAAGTGAAAGAATGTGTTGAAGCACCACTATTAATTATGATTGTATTTTCATCTCTAAATTGTTCTAAAATTTATCCAATTTTATAATGGAAGGCTGTGTCCATTCCAGAATGGAGACTCACCTGCACTATTTAAGGAGCATATTTTGTATTGCTTTGAAAGGCCTTTTATTATTCATTTATGTCATAGAGACAGAAAAGTCCACCCCAACCTCCATGATCTATATCTTCTGATGTTGTTGTTTTAGCTTAAATCTTATTGTCCAATAGCTTTTGATGGATTTATTTAGCTAATTCCACATTTGTGTCTAAAGAAAAATTAAATTTGTAGAGCCACTTGCTGGGGTGGTCATGTACTACTTTTGGATGAGGATTTAGATTTACTGTGACTTATTTTTCTTCCCAGTGTCCTGATATTATGATTGCAGTTTTAATTCTACTTTGCAATTTGTTATCTTTTGTATACTTATTGAGACATTTAAATAGTTAAGTATCTGGGTTGAGAGTCTCTCCTACAAGACCATGAGATATAAATAAACTAGGTAATCTGGTAGCTTGAGATGTCATTTGATCTTTTTAATTAGTTTTCGATTTATTCTAGTTTTTGTCTGTATTTAGTTTTAGGTTTGTTTCTGAAGCTAGTTTTTTTTGTTATTAATTTTAGATTTTAAGAAGATTTGTTTATGATTGAGGTTATTATTCGGCTTTAGAAACTTTTTATAGTGCACTGAATTAGAATTAAGGTAGGTAGTAAACCAAGAATAGAATAATAATTACTTATACGATTGTTAACTATTTTATATTTTTTTAATTCATTATTTTTAACTAATATTTTTTTTTTTGCTTTTAAATTTGAATTTTCATTTGCCTATTTCTTTCTAGACTAATTGAATAAAGTTAATAATTGTTAAAACACACATTACACTCTTCAATTTTTTCTTTAGAATGTTTAAAGAAAAATATTCTGATTAATTCTTTAAGAATACACATAAAAAATAATAATTCTATTATAAAAAATATTAACCTATAGCTAAATAAATGAATTATCCTTAAATTTAAAAGACTCCTTTTATTTTTGCTTAAACCTTTTTATTAAGTCGCTATCTAATCGCATTTTTAAATGAAGGTAAGACATTTAAAAGCAATAATTATTTCTGTAAAAATTCTTAGAAATGTTATTCTCAAAAATAAAGCTTACATTAATAAATCTAGTTAAATTAAGTGTAATTTTAATAGTTTAACAATCTATTTGTAAATGTATAAGATTAGTTTATAGATTTATTTAAAGATAATACTTAAAAGGATTATTAGAAATAATTTTTTGTTTCAATAGAATTTTGTAATAAATAAAATAATTTTTATTGAAATAAAGTTATTAAGGTTTACAGAACAAATTATTACATAAAAATAAAAATAATTTAAACTACTTCTAAAATAAGCAGAAATAATACTGATTACAACCTAATAATAATTTAATAAAATTTTTCTTTCGAAGAAACATAGAATAATCACAATAATTTCAATTTTAGCTTTAATAAAAACTATCATATTATATTCTATTAAAAATTCTTTCATTTATTTTAATGGTTTTTGATAATTTAATTATTTCCTTCTACATTTTTAAATACTCCTATTACAAACAACATACATACATACATACATACATACATACATACATACATAATATTAAAATATAATAAAACTTCAGTAGAAATTTTTTAATTTGATAATAGAAAGACTTATTAAATATAATAATTACAATAAATCATATATTTTAGTTCCTTGCTTTTATTAAATCCTAAATTTACTTTTAAACATAAAATATTCTTTGATTTATAAATGTTAAGATATTTTTTAGGTAATTTAATGCTTTTACTGCTAAAAAGGTTTAGTGACAAATAAATATTTTACTCGCTAGGTAATAAATCTTTTCTTACTCTCATGTATGATTTTATAATAATTTATTAGGGGAAATCTATTTATCTCAGTGAGTTATTTTGATTCTAATTCACTATAGTTAGTTAATTTTTATAAATTGTAAAATGTCAGACAAAGATTATAATAAAATGAAATTAAAAATATTAAATAATTAATTTTATTTCCTAAATTTCAACTTTACTTAAAAAATTTTTTAAAACAATAAAAAAACACTTTATTTGCTAACCAATTTGAAGTTAAATTATTTAAAACTTTAAGCAGTGTAAATAAGAAATATTTTTTTATTATAAAAGTATTTTGATTTATTAATAGTTTAAATTTTTTATCCAATTAAAAAAGTACAATAAATAATTATGCGCATAAAATGTATAATTATGAATAATATCTTAATATTTTATTTAATTTTTTAACAAATCAAAAATTTCGTTTGTATTTTATTTGGATATCTTTGATTAATAAATTTTAAAATATATGAAAAAATAATTACTCATGATAATTTTAGATGTTATCTTATGATATTTATATCAGTCTATTAATTTTAATGTGAGATAAAATAGATTTTATATTAAAGTTAAAATCTTATTTTCTAGTTACAAATTCAGATTTAATTATTATTTTTTAAGAATCAAAGAAATTTCAGAGGAAACAAATTTTTTAGATTCTCCATAATAATCTTTAATAATCATATATAATTATTAGAATTATATAAAAAATTGATTTCATTTGAAACATATTATTAATTTCTTTTGATACTAAATTTATTTAGATCTTTTATGAATATTATTTGAAAGTTTTAGTTTAAAAATAATGATTATTTGACATTTTTTCTAATGTAATTATTTTTTAACATTTTGCAACAAGTCAATTGATTATTACTAAAAATGGTCTCATAATTTCCTAAAATTTAAATAAATGAGTTAATAAGTAAAGAATATCAAAAATTAAGGCTTTATATTTTTTAAATAATTAACGAAATAAAATTAATTTAAAAAATATATCAAAATTAATATTAGATAATTATTCTTCAAATATCAATCCATTTAATTTGAGTAAAAATTATTTAATTTAATTGCTTAATATTTGAACTAACCTAAAATAATTAAAAATTTGTTGTTAAGAAAAATAATTGTTTCTTATAAATATTATAAAATAAATATATTTTATTAAACTAAAAATATATTTTTAATAAGGTTAAATTATTTAAGATTATTTATTGCTAATATTTCAAATTTTGTTTGATTAAATTTAATTCTTTTATATCAGAAAATTTTTGATAATTTATTTGATAATAAAAGTTTTTTTTAGAATAAAAAGTAATTTAGATAAGTAAGTAAAAACCATTTATTTTTCTTTCTTAAATTGAATTAATTAAAAATGATAATTACAATTTTTCTAAAAATAGGGATTAAAAAAGTAGATTTCGTCAAACATGTCTTTAAAAGTTATTTTAAAATTGAAATATATTACTTGATTTAAATTAAGTTGATATTTTCTTTCAATATTTAAGCAAAAAAAAAATAAAGTAATATAAAAAGCATTTTAAAAAAGTAACTATGAATAGAAAATATCTGTCTGCAATAAGTAAGTAATTAGACTAAAATAGAAAGATGAAAATAAGAAAGATTCTTATCAGCAGATTAATTTTCTATCAAAAATATTAATGAAGGAAAAAAGTTAAAGTTAAATAAAATGCATTTAAAATCTAAATTGAATAATGTAAAATAACTAATAAGAAAATAAATAAGATTTATTTTGGTAAAAAGAACAAAGAAAAAAAGAAAGTAAATGGCAAGACTTTAAAAAAATATTATTTTAATTTCAATAATTTGCTTTTAATTTATGTATATTAAGGCTGATCAATGTAATCTGAGCATAGATTAACTAAATAATCAAATAATTTACCCTATCATGGAAAATTGTTCTAAATAACTATGCTTTTATGGAAACACTACTTTAACGATTTAATATGAAAGCATTAGAATTAATTCTATTACATTAAAAGCAACTAATAAAACTAGCTAGTTGACTTAATTAGTTTTAAAAACACCTCCCTCTTAAAATCTACTAACAATAAACTCTTAATTTCTTGTCAATATAACTGATTAATATAGTTAGGGATCATATAGTTTTATAAACTTATTGTAAAACCAGACAACTAAATGGATAGTAAATATATGATGTAATATTTAATGTGATGGTAGATTCCTATAATTATCAATAATTTAAGCTTTATCAAGGAGCTCATATTTTAAATGTTATATTTAGTTTATTATTATTGATATTTTCAATATGAAGTAGGGCTATAAAACTTACATCTATATTTTATGTTTTGTTGGATTAATAATAATACCTGACTTAACTAAATAAAACAAATTTGTTTTTAAAATATAATTCTTTATATCTCAACCTTACAACTTTATTTTTATTTCCGCATAAAATTAAATATTTTTTTTTATGATTAAGAGGAATTAATAATATTGCTTTTAATATTAGGTTGTACAGCCAATTTTAAATTTTATTAAATAGGTTTATAATTGTAAATCATTTATGGAAATTTCATATTTGCTTTTATTTTTAACTAATTTAAATTGATTTTGAGTAAATTTTTGATTTACAACCTTTAATCTGATATCATAGATTTGAAAAGAAAGAAAGAAAAATTAAATATTCTTCATTTAAAAAAACATATAAAAAGTAAAAATTAATTATAATTTGTCACTAACTAACTAACTCATTTTTAAATTGAATGTGATTTATCAATAAAGAATTCATCTAAATAATAAATCATTATAAATTGATTTAGGTGTATTTAATAGAATAGATGAAGGAAAATTAATTGATTAATTAATTATTTGTAAATTTAAAAAATAAATCCACTTTTGATTTAGACTTAAATGCAAGTCTTACATAACTGATTGAAGGTAAATTTAAAAAAATAAATTGATAAAAGCGCTTAAAAGTATTAAAATTCTTTTTTAATTATCGCTTTTTCTCTATCCAAGAAGCTAAATAATTGTCTTTGTTAATAAGGTTTTATAACTTAATTATACAAATAAATGAATTATTCATTTAGTAAGTGCTGAAAGCATAAATAATCTCTGTTTTGGATTGTATTTTAATTTTTCTTCTTTAAGTTAATTATGGATTGAGATTGAAAGTTGAAGAAATTAAAATAAGGAAGTAGAAATAAATTATGTGAACCACTTCTACTAAGAGAGTTTTTTTAATTTGTTTTTATAGTTAAAAGCAATCTAAATCAAAAAAACTATTAAAAATTCAATTAGAATAAATAATTTATTAAAAAAAGTAAAAAGAAATTTAAAACAAAGGATTGAAAATTATGAATAATAAACATATTATTTTTGCCTTAATTATGGCAGCATTTGCAGTACAAGCTAATGCTTAATGCGCTTCAAATGCATCTGGATCTCCTGGAAGTTGTTTATGTAATTAGGGATATTATGGAACAAATGCTGAATCAAATGGTACATGTAATTAATGTCCTACAGGAACAACAACTGCAGCTCCATCTAGTGCTTCTGGAGGAAACACTAATTCTGGTACAACTATCATTGTTTGCTCTCTTTGTGATGTTAACTATTACATGACTAAAGCTGCAGGTGCTACTCAAGGCTACTAAAACACTCCTGCTGCTGCATTATGTAACGCTTGCCCACCAGGAACAGGAAATTCAGGAGCTTCTTCAGCTGGAGATGTTTCTTAATGCACTATTTGCTTACCAAATTATTATATGACGGCACTTCCTGTAGCTGCAAACCCTGGTTCTGGTATTAACGCTGCAGCAGCTACCTGCATCCTATGTCCAGATGGTTCTGGTAATGCTAGTGGAGTAAATGCTGTAGGAAATGCTTCTTAATGTAACACTTGTGTAGCAAATTTCTATATGTCAGCAGCTGCTACTGGTACAAAATAAGCTAATTGTTAGGCTTGTCCTATTGGATCAGGAAATGCTTCTGGATCAAGTACGGTTTCTGATTCTTCTGTTTGCAATATTTGCCAGAAAAACTATTTCATGACTGCATTAGCTTCAACAGGAGTTTCTGCAAAATGCTCTCCTTGTCCTAGTAACTCCTACAGCAGCGGTTCTACTTCAGTTAATTCAATTGCATCATGTATGTGCTTTGATAGTAATGCTGTTGCTCTTTCTTCAACTATTACTCAATGCTAATGCAAAAACGGATTTTTTGGAAAAGTTGCCACTGTTTTAGGCTAATCAAGTGGATGCAAGTAATGTCCAAAGGGACAATTTACTACAGCAGGAGCTAATTGCAATATTTGTACCGCAGGTTCTACTATTACTACTGATTAAGGAGGTTGCACTTGCAACGATAGTAGTACAGGAACATTGCCTTGGAATCCAGCTACAAACGTTTGCGAATGCTAAACAGGATACTATGGTAATCCTTCTACTGCTACAACTGTAGGAACTACTGGTTCATGTACCTCTTGCCCTAAAGGCACTTCTTCTACTAGCGGATAAGCCTAAGCAGCTAGTGATTGTGTACAAATTCCAGGAGCTACAACATATTCAATGATAATCTACTTTTCAGGAGTTTTAGGAGTTTTAGCATTGCTTATTTGATTTTTTCATCTTGCAAGTTAATAATTTATTAAAAATCTACTTAAAGTTAGATCAAGCTTTTATTAATTTGGTTTATATATCGCATTCATATTGTCCATCCATCCATTCTTTCATTATTATGAATTAATCAATTATAAAATTTAAAATTTCTAACTTTTTTATATCTGTCGTATTTTATTTCATTTTTTTAAAAACTTTGGATCAATTTTTCTTTTGATTTATTTATAAATACTCCATATCTAGCTATGATAAGATTTGAAATCATTTGATAAATAATTATTAATGATGAATAAATTATACTACTAAATGGCATATAAAGCTAGAAAATGCTTACAAATAATACACTTTTTTATATCAATCGTCGTTTATTTCATTTTTTTAAAAACTTTTCATCAATTTTTCTTTTGATTTATTTATAAATACTCCATATCTAGCTATGTTAAGAATTGAAATCATTTGATAAATAATTATTAATGATGAATAAATTATAATACTGAATAGCATATAAAGCTTGAATATGCTTAGAAATAATACGAAATTTTATATAAAATATTTTTTATTAATTATTTTTAATGCTATTCAAACAAAAAGAAAGTACCTTTGTTCCATTAAAAAACTAAATAAATAAAAAATTTCATAATATTTTCTGAAAAAAGTAATAAAAAAAGACTTACTAATCATCAATTAAAGATGATTTTTATCTTTACTTTTAATTTATTTGTAATTTGATTGAATGAAATAAACTTAATTTATTAATAAATTCATTTAAAGCCATAAAGAGAATATATGTTTTTACTATAAAAACTTGTTTCAAATAATTTAAATTAATTTTTGTTTGAACTATATTTATATTTCTATTGTAAATAAATAGACGACAATCATTTATTTGAAAAATAAATTTTAAATAATTTCCCTATAACTATTTATCACTCTAATAGAATAAATTTAAGCTTTTGATGAAGAATAAATAATGTACATTATATCAACTAAAATGTTATCTCCTAATATAAAAAACACTATTATTTTTTTATGTCTAATTATTAAAACATATATTTGATAAATAATTAACTTTTAGAAAAAAATATATTATTTCTTTACTTAATATATTTATTTATCCCCTTTCATCTATTTTTATAAATAAAAAACAATTAAAAAAGATAATTTTAAATAACTGATTGGCTTATTCTTTTTATAAAATTTTTCTATTTCAAAGCACTAATAAAAGAGGATTTGTTGAGTTACTTATTTTTTTCTTCATAATAAAAGATATTTTTATAAAGTTATTTCAAAAAGACATAAAAATTAGTCATAAATAAATAAGATAAATTAGTCAATATATTATCAGAGATAAGCGCCTTTGCTTAATATCAGAATCTATAAATATGAGATATTTTTAGAATAATTATAACTTAGAAAAATTATGTTTGAGTTAATTCAAATTAGTTTTTTATTTATATTCATTTATATTCTCTTTTTAAGATTGTAAAAAAATTTTTATTTTAGATTAAATTTTAAGAGTAATCATCTAAATTATTTTTCTTTTTATATTTTAATAACTAAAATTATGAAATAAGTTATTTAAAAATCCTTTTATTAACTATGAGTATTTTTGAATTTTTAAAAATAATGCTTGATTTTTATTAAAAGTTAGAATAAATAAATAGAGAAAATTATTTTTTATGATTTTCTATTGTCAAAGTATTAAATTCATAATAAAATATAATTAGAAGTGCATATTTGATGATTTAAATAAAAAAGCCCTCTTCAATCATGGAGACTGGCTATTAACATATTCGAGCAATGATTTAAAATAAGATCTATTTCGAGTTTTAGATTAAAAATACTAAAAAAAATAAATCAATTTTAAGAATAAATACTTAAATAGAAAATAATTGAAAGTGTTGATTTGTACATAGTATTAGTAATTATCTTTATAATATAATATTTATAAATAACTTAATGTTATTTAATTCAATTATTTATTTAATCTTTTTATAAAAATTCTGAGCAAAAGTAGAATTTTTAATTATTTTGGCATTCTAAGATGAGTTTATTTAAATCAAATCTAAGCTCAATATGGTTTTAAAAATTATCTTTAAAATTAGAACCACTTTAAATATCAAAAAATGAAAAAGATAAGCTTAATTTCTCTCATTAATTAATGTCAGAAAGACTCAATCAATCTAAAATTATTCTTAATACAAGCAATAAGTTTAATAATAAAAATAATAATAATGATAACTAAAGAAGATTATTTTATAGCCCTTAAAGCAGAAAGTTACCAAAAATTAATCTAACAGATAGCTAATTAAATAAATAAAATAAAATGGTTGGAGTTGTTGGAAAATAAGTTTATGATTTTAGTAATGGCTCAAGGAAAATTCGCTCTGTTGAGCGTTAGGAGTAGAGTCTTCAAAAGAAGGAGCACAGTGTTTAACAAATTTAATATTTAAAATAAGAAACTAAATCATATTTCTAAGATGATAATAACTCTATCGAAGATTAAGTAAGCATAATCTAGTAATTATAAATATAAGATTAAATTACTAATGAGAACGATTAGTCAAATAAATCTAATCATAAAGCTATTACAAAAATATAAGGATAGGAATGTTAATAATTAACATCTCTATTGGACATTCCAAATAAAATAACAAAAAATCAAGCCATGTTTTCACCAAAAAGATTGCCGAATAAACATATTTAATATACTCAAAACAATTTAACTGAGAGAAAGAATTAAAGCTAAAAGGAGGGAATACTTTAAACTTATAGATATGATAAAGATTTGATTAATTTATATGATGATTTTGCTAACAGCCATGTCGTAAAGATCAAAAATAGACTATAAAATGACTTAAATACAACTATGATTATTAAATATAAACAACTATAAAAATTGTATGATAATTAGATGAAGTATTTTTAAAAACTAAGTTAAAATGCAAACAATAATTCTGAGAGCGATTAATTTGAAGACATTAATCTATAGAAATTAGGAAACTAAGGTTAATATGGAGAATATCAAGTCATTTTAGATCAACTTTAGTTTCTTAATATTAATTAAAATGAAAACTTAGAGTTAGCCATTCACGACTTTGAGACTACTGTATTTATTTAATTGTTAGAATCCCTTGTTGAAGGATGTAGCCTAGCGATAAAAGAGTAGCTTCTTTTCTTACAAAACATCTTCAATCGCATTATTTATGTGAATACAAGTTCTAAAATAGTTAATTAGTTATAAAGCACTCTTAAAAAATAATAGTGTCTCAATAAACAAACAACATATGCTCAAGTAAAACTATTTTTAAAATATTTATTCTATTCATTCAAATAAATAAATAATTAAAATATTTAGATTTATCAATTTGTTAAAATTAAATAAAAGGGATTGTTTTTTCTATTAGATTACTTAGAAAAAAAATAAACAAGCAAGGCTGATTAAGAGCAGGCAAATGCTGATGACAAATTAAAAATAGAAGAGAAATTTAAGACAATGAAGAGAAGAATTGAAGAATTAGAATCAACTGTTTTTGATTTTGAATAAAAAGAAAAGTAGAAAGAGGAACATTTTTAGAAGAAGTAAATGATACTTTTGAATATGATTGAGTAAAAAGACAAATTCTTAGAAAACGATGTGAAAAAAGAAATGTAAGTTCTACAAATGCAAATTGATATATCAGAAAATGAACACAAACTAGCAATATAACAATACTAAAATATGTTAAAATAAAAAACATAAGAAATATAAGAATAAAAAGATGTAAATTTACCTTTATTTTTTTTTAATATTTTTTTAATTTATTCTAAATAATTAAAAGCTAAATGATGCTTAATAAAAGAAATTCTCTTAGCTAGAATAAGAATATCATTTAGTGCTTTAAAATTAGGCTCAATCAATTAAATGGATGATAAAAAACTCTGAAAATGCAGATAAATTACATTAAAAATTAAATTAATACAAAGATATGCTATAGACTATTACTTAATAGCATAAATAAAATCTCTAAGATTTGACTCCAAGACCATCTTTTAAAAAAGTAAGAAAATTTATTTAAATTTATTTTAAAAATTAAATAAATAATAAAATAGATAGACTCTTTAATCGAAAGCAACAAATTTCTATTAAATAATAATAAACCTAGTAAAAAATTATTCGAAAATAAAATTCATGAAATTATAAGTTAGGGTATTTCCAACAACAACAGCAATAGTAATATTTAATAAGATTAATAATATTCTGAAAACAAAATTAAAGAAAATAATTAAGTGGATAAGATTTCTACTTCATCTAAGCTTGACGAGATAAATGAATTTATTTCTTAGATTTTATAAAAGCTAAAGAAATAAAAACAACCAGATGTTTATCAAAATAGGAATCCTCGTCCTTCTAAATTATAAAAATGATAAAAGTTAGTAAATAAATAATAAAAATTAAGTCATTATTTTAAATTTTCCAAAAACTAAAATTAATCTTTTTTCCAATTTTGGCTAAAAAAACAGTATAAAAACTTAAAATAATTAATACATTTTATTCGCTTTTAAGTTATACAAAATAATTAATATTAAAGTTTATTTCACTCTCTTTGTGTATGTACATAAAAAATATAATAAAAATTCCTTTTCTAAATTTTATTTGGCTTAAAAATTCAAATTTATTTGTGTTTTATTTTAGTAAATATTTTATCAAATACTTTTTGAAATAATATTTTTTACAAATCTAATATAAAAAAATATTTTTTGTTATAATTGATTTAATATATTCAAAACTTTGGCAAAGGATCTTTCCTTGTCAGCCAAGAAAATTCTTGCTCTTTTCTTTATCCATTTGGATCAATCATCACATTTATGATATGTAAGACATCACTTTTGCTGAATGCTTATTCTAATGCTAATTTAAGCTCATTATGAGTTTTAACAAATAGACCTACTCCTCCAAATGCATCAGCTAATTTTTCATACCTAGTATTAGGTTTAAGAGCGTTTGGAGGAATATTATGAGCATTTATCTCTTCAGGTAGATCTTCAACTCCTATGAATTTAAATTAAAGTCATAAATGAAAGAAAGTTATTTTAAAAAGCTTTTTAAGTAATTTACCTGAAAAAATTCCATTATTATTTAAAATAATTACAACAAAAGGTAAGTTATATCTTATAGCTGTTTCAATTTCCATAGCTGAAAAACCAAAAGCAGAGTCTCCTAGAATTCCAACAACTGGTTTTTATGGATTAGTACATTTAGCTGCTATGCAGAAGGGTATTCCAATTCCCATAGTTCCAAAAGTTCCAGCATCAAGCTTTGTCCTAGGCTAAAGTTGATTGATTACTGTTCTTCCAATATCCATAGTATTAGCTCCTTCACCTTAAAATTCATTTAAAAAAATTTAATTTATGAGTACTTAAAATCAATATTATATCAATTCATACCAACATATATAAAATCTTTTGGAAGCATGCTTTAAATAATTCCTAAAGCTGAGTAGTAAGTTATTCTCTGTTTTTCATCATTTTATGATATTAACTTTTAAGAGACTAAAACATTTTTATCTATTTTTTCTTTGATACTTTTCCACCAATCTGCCTGAATTTATCTGCAATTATATCCTATTGTTTAAAAGCAGTGTTTTTAAACAGCATTTTATAAAAATAAAGAATATCTACCTTATAATTCCTACACAAGCTATTTAGTAATTAAACCTATATCTCCAAATAAATTCACGCTACCTTTCACATTTGTATCAAATTCTTCTGGGCATATTTCAATATGAATAATTTTTACATTCTTGTTAAATCTTGGAGGCTCTCCAAAATGTAAAATCCAATTTAATCTAGCACCTATCAGCAGAATTAGGTCTGCATTTTATAAAATAAAAGATCTAGCAGGAGCTGCACAACAAGGATGAAGGTCTGAGACCACTCCTTTACCCATAGGAGTGGGTAAAAAAGGTAACTGTGTGCTCTAAATTAATTATAAAACATCATTTTCTGCTCTAGAGTAGCCTGCTCCTTTACCTTTTAAAAAAGAAAATATTATTTTTTAAATGAATGCAAAAATATCTATTTTATTTATATTTATTACCTATTATAACTAAAGGATTTTTTGAAGTTTTAATTTATTGCACTGCTTATTATATCAACTGTGTAGGTGCAAGACTTAAAGGTAAGACTTAGTTGAATTGTGGGAATTCTAGGGAATCTAAATCTATTGTTTCAGTAAGTACATCTCCTGGTATTTCGATATAAACTGGTCCAGGTCTTCCAACAACACTAAGTCTAACAGCTTTAGAGATAACTTGAGGTATTTACTTAGCTGAGGTAATTTTAACAGCAAATTTTACGTATGGTTTAGTCAAACTTATTTAATCGCATTCTTAGAATGCTCCTTTTGCATTCTATGCCAAATCACTCGATCCCACTATTAATATCATAGGCCACCCGTTTGCCCAAGCATTTGCTAATCCTGTGACTGCATTAATCATTCCCTATTTTTTCAAATAAAAAATTCTTAAAAAAGGCCAATTAAATATGATATTTAAGCTTATTTTTACAGGTCCACTTACGCAAAGACATATTCCAGGTTTACCAGTTAAGTATCCAACAGCTCCTGCAGAATAAGAAGCGCCTTTATAGTTAAAAATAAGTTAAACAACAGATTTATCTAAAAATCATAATTTCTACCTTATTCGTTTCTGTAACCATAGTAGTTGATTCCTTCAGCTTAAATGGCAAACCCCAATTCAATTATTGGAACACCAATAATACCAAAACAATGCTCTAAGCCTTGTCTACTAAGAGCTCTAGCAACAACTAAATTTCCGCTCATATTCTAAATTTACTGAAACCTTATTAAATGAAGTATTGCTTTTTTTAATTTATTATTTCTGATATAATAAATTGCAATATCCAAAATGCGTCATATGTGTATCTATCTGATTGAAATTATAACTAATAAGCAATATCCAGAAATAAATTAATAATTAATAAAACTTTTTATATTACACACTAGTCAACTACTTTGTATTTAGATTACATTTAAAAAATTTGCCTCCATTTTTAAAATAAAAAATTGATAAAGAAAAATTCGAATGAATAAACTATTAAAATTCTATACAATGATTTTCAAATTAAAGTTTAATAATAGATAATTAATCTTGCAAAGTTCAATCAAAACTTTTAATTTATTTAAAAATGCTTAAAATTATCTTTTATTTTAATGTTTTAATGAAGATTGTTGAAAATAAGAACTAACACTAAATATTTTACACATAAATTGAATAAAAATAAAATCTTGTGTCATATTATGAAAGATCGCCTTTTATTTGTCTATAATCATTAATTAGATATTCTCTATCCTTTGGTTAATCTTAATTTATTTATTTAAATATGTTATTTTTCATACAATTTTTTGATAATTTTTTCCATTTTTTGACTAAAAAAAATATCTTGTGATTAATTCCATAAATCTTCTTTAAATACTATTTATACTGCTATTTCATTAATAATTTTCTTTTTATTAAATTCTATTATGTTTGATTTAAAAATTAATAAATTTAAATCTTAATTAAAGTAAGTCTTTATGTCTTGTTTTGGCTTTTAAAAGCTCAAAATACAAAATTACATACAACAAGTTAAAAATTAAAATGAAAAATGCTCAAATTTAAAAAACAAATGTTTTAAATTAAAATAAAAAATAAATACTAAAATAGCCTTTTAAAATTAAAAAAATGATTTTTAAGAAAAAATAATTTGAATTTAAAAATTAAGCTAATATTTTAAATGCAACTTATTTTATAACTAAAATATACAGCTAAAAACACTTATTGAAATCTATTTTATCAATAATTATTTAACAAATATCCTTCAAAAAAGATATCTCATAACTTGGGATTTATACCACTGTTTCTGAAATAATTTGCTTTTTATTCTATTTCTGTTTGGTTTAATGGCTAATCTATTAGAATATTGATTATGTAGAGTCTTCCTTAGTTTTTAAAAGCTTAATTCAAAGCTTATTTCAACTCTTTCAAATTATTTACTAAAATGCCTACTCCTCCATAATTATCAGCTGCTTTCTCAAACCTAATTGATGGATGGGCTACAAATTAATAATTCTATTGCTTATTTTCTTAGCTTTATTTTTTATACATACCTAATTTATTTTAATAATTATTTTCATTGATATAAAAATATCTTAAATTTTATTACCTGCATATTTTTTTGTATTAAAAATTATAGCTATGAATGGTAGCTTGTATTGAGATGAGGCCTCTATATCTGCTTATGATAAATTGAAGGATTCGTCATCAAAAATGCACACTACTGGTTTGTTTTTATATACACACTTAGATGCTATGCAAAAAGGAATACTTACACCTTTTATAATACTATTTCCTGAGCTTAAATACTACTTTGGTTTTACCTAATTTATTATTGGTCTTGCCATATTTTTTATATCATCACCTTCTATTACACATATAAAATCTTTAGGTAAAACGTTAACTATTTCTCCTAAAGCAGAATAAAAACTTAAATATTGCTTTTCTTCAAAAAGCAAATATTTGTTAACCTACTCATTTCTATGAATTATCTACTAAATTGTTTACCACCATTTAATTTAAATCTACCTAGAGTTAAATCCTTATTTTTTAATTGAGATTAAAACAAAATAATATAAAAATATATAATTAATACCTTTCATTTCAAGATAAAGCATTCTTATTGTATCTTAAATATTTCCACATAAATTTACAGTGCCTTGAATGAAATAGTTAAAATATTCAGGATCATTAAATATTTAAATAATTTGTGCATCTCTGTTAAATTAAGGGTATTGGCCGAAGTCTAATATCCAATTAAGACCCGTTCCGATTAAAAGTATGACATCTGTGTTTTATAAAACGTAATTTTGAGCTTAGATAACACAGCAATTATGCTTATCTGAAATGACTCCTTTACCAAACAATGTAGGTAAAAATGGCAGATAAATCTTGCTAATTAATTTTTTTATTTCTGCTTCTTCAGCATGATTTAAAGGACCTTTTAAATTAAATAATTAAATGAAATACGTGATTAGTAGTTAGTCTAAATAGATGTGTAAGTTTTTATGTATAAAATATTTGGCATGTTTTTTTTTAATTAAAACTTAATATTAAGTCATAGTATTTGCTTGGTTGTAATATTCTTCGCTACTAACAAAAATATAATAGCTATTTTATCAGAAATCTATCATTTATAAAATCACAATTAATCAATATAGTAATTACCAATCACAATTAAAGGATTCTTTGCTTTCTTCAAAAGGTCTGCTGCTATACTGATATCTTCATATGAAGACAGAACAGGAGGTGCTTAAGTTATGATTGCTGGCTCTAATGCTTATTAAATTGGTACTTATGAATCTAATATATTGCCTGGGATCTCTATGTAGACAGGTCCAGCTCTGCCAGAAACACACATTTTGTAAGCCTTTTCGATCACCATAGGAATATCAGCAACACTAGTCACCTTCTATGAGTACTTAATATAAAATTTCTTAAATGCCTTCCTATCTATTTCTTAATGAGTGCCTTTCGCTTGATTATATATGTCTTTACATGCTGAAATTACTATGACTGGCCATCCATTAATCCATGCATTTGTGAGACCCTCAATAACTTAAATAATATCCTTTCAAATAAAAAATGTAGAACCTCAAACAATAAAACAAAGCTATTACATATTCTCTACCAAAAACACATATCCCAGGTCTCCCCGTCATAAACCCAATAGCTGATGCTGCAAAAACAGCTCCTTTTTCATAGTCATAAGTTAATATTCAATTTCTGTATATGCTTTTTACCTTTTTAACTTTTAAACCCAATATTCTTAATCTCGTTAGCTATAAGGGCAATTTCCAACTGTATCACTGGAGAATTTTCCACACTGAAGCAATACTCTAATCCCTATTATTGCAGAGCCTCTGCCAATAAATTATAACCTAGTTTTTTTTGGAATATTGGTTATTTGCTACTGTTTTCTTTAAAAAATATGGACATTTATTTTAATTTATAAAATTAATTACTAATAGTTCTAATAAAAACAAATATATAAATGTAATTGAGGAATTGAATATGAAATTTATATATGAATGTTAGATAGAGATATATTGATTTATTTATTTATTGATAGATAAGATGTTAAGCTTAAAAAAATCTTTACTAAATAATATTGTTTTAATTCATGCAAATGATAGTTTATTGAGGTAATAATGATTACTTATAGTTAATTTATTATTATTTATTATAATTAAGTTATTGGGTTTCTTGTTTCAATTCCCTATTACGTATTTATTCCAATTTGATGTCATTTTAAGCCCTAATTTCAATAAGCTCCCTTAGCTATAATCAAATTATACATTTTTAAAAATAAAAACAACAATTATTAACATTCGTTCATTCGTGTAATCCCACCATTAATAGTCATAATTTTCTAAAGTTAATTAAAATATTCATAATTTCTAAAATTTCATTTTGAAATTTGATTATGCTCTACATCCTGTATATTTACTTATTATATTCTGTAATCTACTTGATTTATATTAATTTCAAAGCAAAAGTAAATCTCTTAAATTTATATTAATTTTCTATTGTATTTCTCACATTATACCATAATAGTAAAGTAAAAAAGCTATCATACAAACAAATTTTAAATAATTCTTTAATGAAAAAAATTAAATACATTTTTTACTTTTAAATAAAAAAAATGTTCAAAGTATTTCAACTATAATTATTGAGAATTTTGCATAATTTATTGAGATGTTTTCATTTTAAAAAACAATTAAAAAAATATTTTTTGATAATGTATTTTTTTTTAATTGCTTTACTTTTAAATATTTAGATATAGATATAAAAATATTAATTAATTTTTATTTTATTGAAGTTTTTTCAAGCAAACAAAATGCTTATAAAGAAGGATTATATTAAATGGTTGATTTAAAATTATTATTTCTTTTAAAATACATACCTTTAATAAAAAGTAATGTAAAAAAATTAATTAATTTTTATAGATAATTTATTGATTAATTTCATAAAATTATCAATTTATTTTAGATATGAACAAAAATGATAATAAAAGATAGATATAAAATTAGCAAAATAATATTTATAGGTACTTTCATTTTTCAGGATCATAACATTTGGATTTGTTTTATATAAATAGTACTAGATAATTTTTGATGATATTAAATATAAATACTTTTGATTATGTATGATAACAAGATTTTTAGATATAATTCATAAGAAATTAATCTCAAATTACTCTTTTCTTGTTTATTTGAATGTAAAATAATTTGGATGTAGAAACTTTTATATGACTCTTTAAGAATTAAAAATCTATAAAAAATTAAACATATTTAGTTAGATACTTCTTAAATAATATTAGTGCAAGAAAAATTTTGTTAGTATGCTTAAATTATTCAATTAAGTTAGTCATGAATTATGCTAATATGAGAATTAACATAAAAGAAAAATGGCTATAATATATGCATTTGTCAGCTAAATTTTCTTTGTAACAATGTTTACTTGTGTAGGTATGTTGAGAAAAGGATATACTACATAAGAAATTGTATAAGGAAGATAATGCATTGGGTTTATACTGAACTACTTGTTTTGCTATCTATAAAAAATACCAATATATCCTAAAAACACTTTAGAACTAAAGCTAATGATTATAAGAGGAGTTATGGGTGCAATAGCAATGCTTTTAATCTTTGAAAGCTTTAAGTTACTTAACCTTTCTGATGCAATTGTTGTTGCAAATACAAATCCTATTTGGACTACTTTTCTTGCAGCTATATTTTTGGGTGAGAATCTATCTAAAAAATCTGTGATATTTTGCTTGATAAGCTTTATCGGTATAGTATTAATCATTAAACCAGCTTTCATATTTGGTGAAACTACTTAATCAACTCAAATAGAAGGGAGAAACTAATTTCTTGGTGGTCTAATTGCTTTAGTTGGAGCTATTTGCATTTCTTTTATTTAAATAGTGGTAAGTAAAATGTAGAAATAAATGAAATTAAATAATGCCTAAGTGTTAATGTATAGTTACTTCTTTACTTGTATTATAAGTGGCATTGTGCAATTAGACACTCCAAATAATGAATTTAAAGCTACCCCTAAATACTTATGTTTGATTTCAATAATTGGCGTATTAGGATTTATAGCTTAACTTTTCTTCTCACGCTCATTTACTCTTGAAAAAGCTTCAATAATATCACCTCTTCAATACACTGAAGTCATTCTATCATTTATGATAGATATATTCTTTTTTAATGAATAGATTTTTTTCGTAAATGTAATCGGCTCTCTGCTTGTAGTTTTAGGTAGCATAGCTATACTAATTTGAAAACTAAACTTATAAGTTTACTCCTATCTAGTTATATATATTAATTAATTTATTTACTATTTAATTGACTTAATTTTGATATAAAGAATAATCTCAAGATAGACTATTAAAATAATTAAGCATCTTTGAGATATTTAATTATAAAGTAGATGTTTCTTTATTTTGTAAAAATGTGTTAAGAGACAAACATTACTTTCATAATTTTATTATCCCAAAGATAATTACTCTTATGATTTTTTTGGCTTCTTTTTTAAATGAATATTCACATTCTAAACTATAATAACAAATTTTAAATACTTTAAACTTCTCATTAATTATAACCTATTTAATTAAGACATAACTTTATTGAAAAATAATATAAAGGAAGATTTTTAAAAAATGACAATTAGTATTAATAAATGAAGATTTACAGCATAACATTTTTTTTTACTGTTTTTTCAAACTATGAAAAAAATAATTATAAATTACGATTTAAAGAAATATTTTATAATTATATATTTAAAAAAATAAATAAATAAGTTATAAGATTGAACAATAAAATTAACGTATTAATTCTTTAAAAGATAAAAAAATTATTTTGAACAAAAAGAATAGGTTAATTTTGTTAATTGAGGATATAAATATTTTTATATTCTTATAATATATTTATTTTAGTGATTTTAGGTATGAATTTATCTTAATTCGCTACGATTATCAAAGGGGAATATTAATAATCTTCAAAATCAAATTTCAAAGAAGATTGGCTGCTAATAGTAATTTGTTTTAGTAAAGATGAGCTGAATTTTTAAATGAAATTTAATCTAATTATTTTCAAATAAGAACTTTATGCAAAGTAGTTTCCAATAAATAAATAAAAATTTTATTTTTGAACTAATAAGTTGAGACTGCTTGGCTAATAAATAAATAAATAAATAAATAATAAGAATACTAATCTTGTCCTATAATTAATATTTTTTTAAATTCTTAAATTTAAAATATTATTTTAATTAATATTTATTTTTAATGAAGAGAAAAAAGACTACCTTAAAGTCATAAAAAGTTTATTTTTTTATTTATTGATATAAATATTATCATTTTTATCAAATTAAACTAATTTATTCTTTTAATACTGAATTTTTGAGCTTGATAAATATCCTTTGCTTATGAAAACTAAATATTCTTTAAATTTTCTAAAACTTGAAATCAAATAAACTAAGATAAATCTAAAAGATTTCTAAGAATTTTTAATTCATATTTTATGAGTTATAAATATTTTTCTTAAAATTAATTACGAAGTACTTAGTCTTTTAGATATCATAATAATTTCACCATAAATCAGAAACTATTAAATTCTTTAAAAATGAATAGTTTTAACACTAAAAATTTTAGTAAAAATAAAAATTTTATTTTGTAATCTAATTAAAAGTTTACAATATGACAATTGAATTATAAAAATAAAAGAGTGATATAAACTAAATCTTTTAACTTTTGCTTTAAAATATTATATTTTTGTGATTTTACACTTCAAAGCATTAAGAAAAGTAAAAATTTTTTTGTTAATTAAACATGAGTTTATTTGTAAATTTAAGATTTTTTTACAATTAATTTCCAAATTTGAGAATAACTTTTTTTTGTGATGAAATCAAAAATTATAATTTACTTACAAACTAAAAAACTAATTTTCATTTTATTTAGTTATATTTTGAGAAATAAATCTATCACTTTTTATACATCAGAATTAAAAGCAAAGTTTACTTGAGAGCTAAAATGCCAGGAGCTAAAAACATAAACTTTTAATAAAATAAATCAATTTTAAATATTGATTTAAAAATAATGGATGAGTGAGTACTTATTTTATTCTACATAGAATATATTAAATATTCTATTTAGCTTTCCATTTTTTATACATTTAATTTATTTTATCTCAAAAAATTTTTTTAATTTGGTATTTTTAAATCTTTTATGATAGTGATTTATATTTTCTTCAATAATTTCAGTATTATTCTTCATCATAAATTAAGATTAGTTTGGATCAATTTGATTATTTTTTTTTATAAACAATCCAATTATTTAAATTGCTTTTTATATTTTCCATATTAATAATTAATTCTGTCTCATAAAATAAAATATTTTTATATCTCTGCGCATGAGAATATAAATAATAAATTATTTTATTTTTATTAAATAAAATTATAGACCCAAAAAAAGTAGTATAAATAAAAAGATACACAAAAACATTTCCTTACTTGTTTTGGCAAGAATAAAATGCAATTTTTTTTCTTCTCATAATCTTTTAAAGAGAAAATAAAAATTGAGAAATTTTGAGTTTTTGTTTTATATTTTATTCAAATTCGAATATTATAAAGAAAATTGGTATTATTAAAATTAACCTTACAAAAGAAATGTTGACTTCTAAAATTTCTCTTTTCATCTAAAATAATATTTAAGACCATTTTATTTTATACATTTAGGGAATTAAATTTTATATAGATGTAAAATTTATTATTTAGTGATTTCAATATGAATTTCTTAAATTGACTTTTTTGAATTAGCCAATATTAATCTTACTTTTTAATATCAAAAATAAATCAAAATTTCTCAACTTTTATGACTAACAATTAACCAAAAAACAAATCAAGCTATTTATTTGTCTAAAAATAAAAAATAAACAATTTGGAATGCTTTATGCTTAAGGAAAATTTTTTTTTTAATATTCAATTAAATGCATTTTTTATACTTATTTAGCATATTCAGGCTTATAATAATTAATGACTATCAGCTTCTTAATTTGTGTATGTTTAATATTGCATATTTTCAAATTGTATTAAATGACTTAGTTACTTATATTTATAAAAAAAACCTTGTTTTAAAAACTCATATAAAAAAATTGTTATGATTTAATTGACTGCTAAGACTAAAATAGTGAAATTACTTTTTCCCTAAAACGACTTAATGTAAGTGATACATATTTTATTTAGATTTAGTGATACTAGAACTAGCTTACTAAATATTGAGAAAAAATTTATATTTCTCATAAATTTAATAATCCTTAAAACCAAAAATATCTTTTAAGTATCAAATTTTTTATTTCAAATATCAGAAGAAAAAAAACCAAAATTTTATAATCAATTTAAATTAAAAAAAAAATAAATAAATTAAGTAAAATAGTAATAAAAATGAATTCTACCTACCTTCTTATCTTCTGCTTATTAGCTGTTTCAATTAATGGTTAAATGTTTTTCTCACTTAACCTGAACAAAACTTATTACCCTTTTGCTCAAACTTTAAATGCTGGTTAGAACACTACAAATCTTTGCTATTTTACCAGCATGGTCACATTAACTCCTATCTAAGTTCCTAATTAAAATTAAAATTTCACTGGATTCTAAGTCTCAGGAAGCATCAACAAAAATGTTACCAACTGCGTTGTTCCCTCAGTACTTAATTTCGTCAAATCAAGCACTGACCTCACACCCCTAGTTGTTGATAACTCAAGTAACAACACTGATTTTAACAATATTTATGTTGTTGACAATATTAACAAAACTCACATTTACAAATTTATAAACTAAATTAATAATGCCTAAAGTGCTAACGCTAATTTGTATGTTTATCACAATGACACTGGTTTGGATAACTACGTTCAATAAGTTTTAAAACTTATTGCAATATCGTCATCTTCCTCATTAGTTTTCACATTAGTTTTTGGTTTATTCGCTCTAATCTACTGAAATAGGTTATATCATTCTAATATAATTAATTAGCTAATATCTCAAATAAATTTAAGAATGTATGGTTCATATTTTTGTGTGGATTTATGTATTTTCTTTAAATTTTATTTTTTTAAATTCATAAAAATATATGTATATTTTATACGTTTATCAACAAAAATATTTAGTTATATCTAATAAATTTTTTAGAAATTAAACTTTTTTAAATTTAATTCATAAAAAAAAAGTTCATTAATTAATAAATATTAGCTTTTAATCAAAATTTAATAGTTAAGAAATTAATAATTTTTAAATAAACTAGCATATTTCTCTAAAGTTTGCTTTTATCTTTATCATAATTGTACTTACTTAGATAATTATGTTCAACAAGTTTTAAAACAAACTTATGGCTACAACATCTTCCTTTTAATATTTACACAAATTTTATTTATTCACATAAATCTAATTAAATAAATTTAGATTCTGATATTTTAATTTACTAATATGTTAAGTTTAGGTTAATATAATCTAGGGCAAGATTTTGTCAATTAAAAAGAAATATAAAATGAGAATTAAAATTTTATTTTTTCTGACAATCATATCAAAAATAAAAAATATTTTTGGTATTTTAAATAAAATAATTAAAGAATAAAATAATAATTTATACAAATTTGTTTTAATAATTATTTTTTACTTTACATTCTAATATGCTAATAATATATGTAAAAATTAAAATTGATTTTATATGTAAATTTTTGATTAATTTATTATTAATTAACCAAATTAATAATATTTTATTGAGATAAAAATAAAATAAATTAATTTATATCTTATTGAGGCTAATTTAATCTATAATCTTAATTAAAATAGCTTAGCTAGTTTTTTTGAAATAATTTATATGAAAGGCTCTAATGAATTTGAGAGTTATAATAATATTGATAGCTAAAATAAAAAAATAATAAATTATTTATTAAATTAAATAATATTTTTAAATTAATTTAAAATAAAAAATAAAATTTTATTAATTGTTTTTTTAAATTATTTTATATTGAATAATTTTTTTATAGTAATCGCTCATCAATTTTTTAATTTTTTGGAATATTATTCCTTTATCAAAAAATACATGTAAATAAATATTTTTAAATTTTTTTCTGATCAGTGTTAGATATAACCATTCTTTGTTATACCTGATGTTAGTTAGATAAGATTATTTTGATTTTGATTATTATATTGATAACTAAAATAGAAAAATAATAAATTGTTTTTTAAATTAAAAAAATAGTTAAATTGATTTTTTTAAAAGTTCAAAAATAAAATTTTATTTATTGTTTGTTTTAATTATTTTATATTCAATAATTTGTTAATAATATTGGCCCATCAATTTTTTACATTATTTATTCACTTTATCAAAAAAACATGTAAAAAGATAATTGTAAATTTTTTGTTTTTTAATCTGTGTTTGAAATAAAAATTTTGATATTCCTTATGTTAGATAAGGTTATGCTGATTTTGATTATTTATTTGATACTGTCTATTATTATTATTATTTATTTGTATAAAAGAATTTTTTTTTTCATGATATGTAGTTAGTTCTTTTTAGAAAAACAAAAATACTTAGCATAATTTAAATCTCTAAGTTTAAATTCCTAGAAAATAATTGATTTTATTGTTATTATATTTAAATAATTTTATATTTGGCTAAGACTTAAAATAAAACCATGTAATTGAATTAGTAAAATAATAATTTAGAAAAAATAAACAAATATCTTTTTAAAAGAAGAAAATTACATTATTAATTTTTTTTACAATCTTCTAAAATTAGATAAATTTTGACAAAATTAATATTTTCATTGAATTTTGATTCTAAATTAAAGAAAAGCAATTATTAATAACAAAAATAAACTTATAAAACAAATTTTAATTTTTTTATAAATTCTCCCTAAATCTAAATTAGTATTTCTTACAATTTTTTTGTAAATATTTATAATAATAAAAAAATAAACAAATAAATTATTGTTTGATTTATTATTGATTTTATTTTGAGTATTGTATGTATTTTTTAATAGACTTTTGTGAATTGATTAATCACTCTCAGATATTACAGAAAGTCTCTCAATTATAATGGTCTATGATTTCTTAGCCTTTATTCTAAATAATTTATGATGCTATTTGTAAATTGTAAGCATGAAAAGTTTGTAAATAGAATAAGCTGAAATAGAATTACTTTTTTTTTTTAAATATTCAAAACATTTTTTGATACTGTTTAAATTAATTTTTTATTATTTACTTCATAAATTCATAAAAATTATATTTGAATTTACTCATTTTTTATATTCTTTTACCTAAAAGTTTAAAGATTTTCTTATTACAGAAAATTGATTTTTCACCTTTAATTTTATATGAAACACAACCTCTCAAAATTATAATTTTTGTAAAAATTCATAACTTAAAAACCATATTGATTTTGCTAATTGACTTGATATGATTTGAATGAATTTAAATTACTGTTTATTGTTGGAATTGGTTTTTATAATTTTGAAATAATTTTTTTATTCATTTTCTTACTAATTCCATAAAATATTACTTTTCTAAATATTTGATTTTTTAAATACAAATAAATACATCTATTTTTGTCAACTTTTTACTTTAAAAACAGTAAAAAAAGCAAAAACTTTATAATTAAAAATAAATTAAAAAAATAGATAACTAAATAAATAAACACAGTAAGCACATTTATCAAAATGAATTCTTCTTATCTTCTAATTTTTGCTTTGTTAGCAGTATCTATTAATTGCTAATTTTACTCAATTAATCTAAACAGAACTTAATACCCTATTGCTTAGTCTTTAAACTCTAATTAGAACACTACAAATCTTTGTTATTTCAATAACATGGTCACATTAACACCTATTGCACTAGCAAATTCAAAAACAAATTTCACTGGATTTAGCATCTCAGGATAGACCAACAAAAATGTTACTAATTGCCGTGTTCCTACAAAGCTTACCTTTGTTACATCAAGCAAGGATACTACACCCTAGAGTATTAAAAGTACAAACACCACTGATTTTAGCAATCTTTACGTTGTTGATGATGTTAGCGGTGCTAGCTATAAATTAATCAACTCAGTTGTTAACAATTACACTGCTAATCTTAATTTATACGTCTATCATAATGATACTGGTGTAGATAACCGTGTCTAATAAATCTTAAAACTAATCAATACATCTGCTTCCTCATTAATGGCTACATTAGTATTTGGTTTATTCACATTGCTTTTTTGAATGAAATTTAAAGTCAGTAAAATCAAATTAAATAAATAATATTGCGTTTAAGCGTAAATCTTATTCATATTTTTTTAAAGATTAATGTATTTATTTTAATCTTCCTACAAAAAATTCATAAAAATCCATATTTTATATGCTAATCAAATAATTCATTTATCAATCAATATCTTATTATTTAGAAATTAATTTTTTCTAATTCAATTAATCACAACATAAAAAAGTCTTTAATCCAAAAATGTTATATATAAATTTGATTTGATTAAAATATTAACTAAATTACTTAATTAATTATTTATTTATTAATTAGCTGTCAGCATATTCAGCATGCTTAAAATTGATTATTTTTTCAAGTGTTTAGATTTATAAATGTGTTTATAATAAATAAATCAACTCAAAAAAATATTATTAATTTAATTTTTTAAAAATAAAACATTTCATAATAATAATTTAATTCATTTTTCAAAAAAAAATTATATTTCTATTTATAAAATATGAAGCCTAATAATCTATTTAAATTAAAACTCTTCTTATAAAAACTTTAGTTAATTTTAAATATTTTTTGAAATTATTTTTTATTAAAAATTAAATTCTATTTTAAAAATTAATTAATAAAAATAATGTTTTATATTTTCATTTAATAATTAATATATTATTGCTTATTTATAAAATTTTTATGTTTTGAAGATTAGCTAGCTTAAAATAACTTATTTCTAATAATTTATTTAAATTAAATTATTTCTAAATAAAATATTTCATAAAAATGATATTTCCATAAATTAAATTACTATTAAAATAATTTTAATTTTATAGTATGGGAAAAAGGTTAAAAGCCTCATCTTATTATATTTATTGTATAATTTTAGATCAATTGTAAAATTAATCAATTTATATTCATTTTAAATTTGTAATTGCTTGGTTTTTTAACATGAAAGACAATTATTGATTATTATAAAGCAAATACACTTTGATCTTTTCCAAATTATAAAATGAATAATGGTTGATAATTAAAATATAGCTTTATTCCTTATTAATAAAACATTCGTATAATGCTTTTCCCTTTGAGATATAAGTATATTTCAAAAAAAACTATTTTACTAAAAATAAAAAAAATATTTATTATTTAATAGATACTATAATTTAATTTTCATAAAAATTTAATATAGATAAATTTTTAATAATGTCTTATATGGGTAAGTGTCTTAAACAAAAAATCAAACTATTTCATTTAATTACCAATTAAATTTTGCATTAATATTTTTTATTATTTATAAGGTGCATTTTGATTTTTTTTTTTAGAAAACATAAGGCTTTTAGCTTATGTATCTTTATTGTATTTGTAAAAATATTATTGTCATGTCTTTTAAAGGTATATTCTGCATAAATTGATATTCACCATTAAAAAGAAAAGTATTTTATTATTTTATCTATTGAAAATAAAAGTCTTTTATCTACTAATTTACAAAATGCATGCAAATGTTAATATCAAAATTTGATTTTGACAAAATTTCTATTAAAAGAGGTAAGGAAAACTCATTATATTAATAATAATTTGTATCCCTTTTCAATACACTAAAAATTAAAAAAAGTCAAAAATCAAAAAAATGCTTTAATAGTTACCAAAAAGACCACCTAAATCTTCAGCTCAAGAGATCAGCAAAATATGCAGAAACATTAAGCTTCTTACAAATATGTTTACTATGTAAGTAGAAGCCCCCTAGTCTTCTGATTCTGATGGACCTCAAGGTTGTGTCTACAAACTTCTTTGTTATCAATATGATGTTGAATTCTCTCCTAATATTGCTGAGGACAACAGATCCCTAAGATACAAAATCTTTAAAGAAGCTCGCAGAGATATTGAGACAATCATAGGAAAATTCTCTTTTTCAGGAAAATCTCTATTCTCAATGAAAAATCTTAGCATAGTTAAGCTTAACAAAATAAAGAATATTGATGCGATCAATGTTGATGGACAAAAATACTCTATCCTTTTGAGGTTCACAAAAAGCTTTGAAGTGAATGATGAGTCTGCTTAAAATAAAGACAAGACGTCTGTAAACTTCAAAAAAGGCAATCAAGTCACTTAGTTGCTCAATATCATCTTAAAATCTATCATGCGTGATGAGAAATTTTAGGAAATTGGAAAGAATTCTAAGTTCTATGATGTTAACTCTAAGAGTGATATTATAATCAAAAGTAGAGATGGATCTACTAGTGCCCTCGAAGCCTACAAAGGATTCACTTTCAATGTCACTCCAACCTAAGACAGACTTTACTTAATGGTTGATTACTGCAGTAGAATTATCAGAAAAGAAACTGCATTAGAATACTTAAAGAATAACAACAATTAATTGTCTGGTCTTTCAGTAATTACCAAATACAATAATTATCAAACTTACTTAATCGACAGAGTAGATGACAGAAAAACTCCTAGTTCTACTTTCCTTAACTAAAAAACTAAAACCTAAATTAGTTTCGCATAATACTACAAGGAGCGTTATAATATCTAAATCAGAGATATGAGACAGCCCTTACTTGTTCATAAAAGAAAATACAGAGAGCCTAATACTAACATCTAAAAGGTTGAAGAAGTTTATTTAATTCCTGAATTATGCAATATGACAGGAATGACAGACGAATAACGTGAGAATTTCTAAGCAATGAAGGAAGTTGCTACTCATACTAAACTTACCCCATAAGAAAGATATCAAAATTCTGTTAATAATTGTAAATTTTTAAGTAACAAAACAAGTTCTAGTGGAATTAAAATTGATGAAAGAAGCAATTTGATAGATGCTGTTTAATTAAGAGCTCCTAAAGTCACTTTAGGTGGTAATAAGACTGCTAATACCGAAAGAGGTAATTTTGACATGAGAGCTCCAACCTTAGATAAAATTGAGTTTAAAGATTGGTCTCTTATATGTAACAAAAAAGATGACTAAAGTGCAGATAATTTTATAGACACTCTTAAGAAGGCTTCCTAGACATTTGGAATTACTGTCAACGATCCTTGCTTTTTGGCCTAGAGAGACTGGAATGCTAATAACTGGATTAGATCTCTCGATGAAGACTTTTCCAATAATGGTTTACCTCAATTTGTTTTGAGTTTCGGTCAAGCCAATAGTGGTTTATACTCTGGTTTAAAGAGATTTTTAACTTCAGAAGTAGGTATAGAATCCTAGCATGTTAATCCAAGATCCCTCCAAAAGAACGGAATGAGTGTTGCTTCAAAAATTGCTCTACAAATTGCCTCTAAACTAGGTAGAAGAATCTGGTAAGTTGAAACCCCAACTGGAATTGATAAAAACACCATGATTATCGGTATAGAGACCAGTATGAAGAAGATCAATAGATAATAGGTGATTGGCGTTGTTGCTTCCATCGACAAAGACTTTACCAAATACTTTTCTGATGTTGAAATTAGGAAAGAAAATGATACTACTTTCCCTACTCTCTCTAAGATTGTTACCAAAGCCATATAGGCTTATGTTAAAAATACCAAAGTTGTTCCTGCTGAAGTGATTATTTACAGATAAGGACTTGGTGAAGGTCAAATTCAATAGAGTTTTAATCTTGAAATTAAAGCCATTTAGAATGGTTTTAGCAACTTTAAGAAAGATTACAATCCACGCTTAGCCTTTTTCTAGGTTAACAGAAAAATTGGCCAAAAGTTCTATCAATAGCCTTAAGGTGACAAATCAGAAGTTTCAAATCCTGCTTCAGGTACTATTGTAGCCTCTTAAGTTGTTTAGAACAACTTTGAATTCTTCATGGCTGCATAAAACTGCAATTCTGGTGTTTGTACACCCACTAAGTACACTTGTTTGTATAACAACACCAACTTAAAAGAGGATCAAATCTGGTAATTAACTTACTATCAAACATTCAACTATTATAACTGGCAAGGACCTGTAAGAGTACCTGCTGCTATGAAGTACGCAGAAAAACTTGCTAAGTTTGTTAGTGACACTATCCAAGAATCTGCCAATGAAAACTTGGCTAACAGTCTTTTCTATTTGTGAGAAAATAGAAAAACGTAGTAGTTAAATTAATTAATAATAATATGCATTTATATACCTTTTTGTATTATATATTTTTCCATATATTTGTATATTTGAAATTAATTTCTTTACTACTTTAAATAAAACTTTCATTAATTCAAATTCTTCTCATGATATCAAAATATGTAGTTTATACATTTTACCTTTATAATATTTTTTAGATTAATGTTTGATAATATTCGCTTCCATCTCTATAAATTTTATAGAAACATCAAATTTAGTAAGATAAAATCCAAAATAAATTTCATCATTTTAGAATTAATAATAAAACTCATGAATTTTTTTTTGTTAAATCTTACTCATAAATTTTGTCTAAAATAATAGAATAAAATATATTTCTGTAAATAAACAAAAGAAAGCTTCATCGAAATTTTATTATTTTAACAATATCTTGGCTTATTAAATTTATACAAAGAAAACAAATTTTCCCTTGTTTTACAAGATATTAAGAATTTAATATTTAATCTATTTAAGCACTACAAAATTATAAACAGAAAAATGACTTTATCATTTTAAATATTATAATAATCTAAGTTGAATGACTCTACTAAATACTTGTTAGCATAATAAATAATAGCATAAATTTTAGTATAAAATTATTTAATTTTTTTTTTATGAATAAAATTAATAATTCTATTTTATTTTTTACATAAATTAATTAATGGAATTTTAATTAAATAAATAATTACTGTAAGCTCTTATTAATTAACACCCTATTTAAAAATTTTGTGTGATATTTTGGGTGTTAAAATAAAAATGATAAAAATAAAATTTTTTTAATTGCTTAAATTATTTTATATTGAGGAATTATAAATAGTAAACTCTCATTATTATTTTTTTTTGGAATATGAATTAACTTTATCAAAAAAAATATATAAATAGATATTTGTAAATGTTTATGTTTTGATCAGCATTAGTTATGTATTTATCTTTATTTTATCTGACGTTAGATAAGATTATCTTAATTTTAATTATTTATTTGATACAAGTAAAAAAAAATAAATTAATTTATATCTTATTAAGACTATTTTATCTATTCTAATAGCTTAGCAAGTTTTTTTTAAAATACTTTAGATTAAAGGCTAAGTATATTTGTATGTTATAATAATACTGATAAATAATTTCCAAATGACTTTAAAAATAATTTTAATTTTATCAAAAAGCTAAAAGGTTAAAAGCATTATACTATTTTATCTGATTTATAAGATTAAAGTAATTGATTGATTTAGATTTTATATTTGTAATTGATTGCTTTTTTAACTTTCAAGCAAATACACTTTAATATATTTCAAATAATAATAAATATAAAATAAATAATGATTTTTGAATAACATAGCTTTATTTCCTATTCATAAAACACTCATATAAAACTTTTCCCTTTAAGAAATGCATTTATCTCAAAACAAACTATTCTATTAAAAATTTATAAAAATATTTGTAATTTATTTAGTAGATGCTATTATTTAATCCTATAAAAAACATAATATAGATAAATTTAATCTTTTCTTTTAATTTCTGGGTAAAAAGTGCCTAAGAAAAAAAATAAATCTATCTTATTTAACTATTTTAGACGCTTTTTTTTGAAAACACAAAGATTGATTTTAATATCAATATCTTTATTGTATTTGTAAAAAATATTATTCTCCATGTCTTAGAAAGTAATATTCAGCTTAAATTCTTTTTCGTAATTTATAAGACATGTATTTTATTATTCTATTCTATTTTTAAAATAAAAGTATTTATAAAATAGAAATAATTTTTTCAATCCTAAATAAAATAAAATAAAAGTGTTTTATCATTTATTTTATAAAATTGAAAATAAATAATTAAATTAATTGATAAAAATTTTTTTAAAAAGAGGTGAGGAAAACTTATTATCTTTATAATAATTTGTTTCCCTTATTAATACACTAAAAATTAAAAAAAAGTCAAAAATCAAAAAAATGCTTTAATAGTTACCTAAAAGGCCACCTAAATCTTCATCCTAAGAGATTAGCAAAATATGCAGAAATATTAAACTACTGACAAATCTGTTTACTATGTAAGTAGAAGCCCCTTAGTCTTCTGATTCTGATGGACCTCAAGGTTGTGTCTACAAACTTCTTTGTTATCAATATGATGTTGAATTCTCTCCTAATATTGCTGAGGACAACAGAAACCTCAGATACAAAATCTTTAAAGAAGCTCGCAGAGATATTGAGCAAATCATAGGAAAATTCTCCTTTTCAGGAAAATCTCTATTCTCAATGAAAAATCTTAGCATAGTTAAGCTTAACAAAATCAAGAATATTGATGCGATCAATGTTGATGGATAAAAATACTCTATCCTTTTGAGGTTCACAAAAAGCTTTGAAGTGAATGATGAGTCTGCTTAAAATAAAGATAAGACGTCTGTAAACTTCAAAAAAGGCAATCAAGTCACTTAGTTGCTCAATATCATCTTAAAGTCTATTATGCGTGATGAGAAATTCTAGGAAATTGGAAAGAATTCTAAGTTCTATGATGTTAACTCTAAGAGTGATATTATAATCAAAAGTAGAGATGGATCTACTAGTGCCCTAGAAGCCTACAAAGGATTCACTTTCAATGTCACTCCAACCTAAGACAGACTTTACTTAATGGTTGATTACTGCAGTAGAATTATCAGAAAAGAAACTGCATTAGAATACTTAAAGAATAATAACAATTAATTGTCTGGTCTTTCAGTAATTACCAAATACAATAATTATCAAACTTACTTAATCGACAGAGTAGATGACAAAAAAACTCCTAGTTCTACTTTCCTTAACTAAAAAACTAAAACCTAAATTAGTTTCGCATAATACTACAAGGAGCGTTATAATATCTAAATCAGAGACATGAAATAGCCCTTACTTGTTCATAAAAGAAAATACAGAGAGCCTAATACTAACATCTAAAAGATTGAAGAAGTTTATTTAATTCCTGAATTATGCAATATGACAGGAATGACAGACGAATAACGTGAAAATTTTCAAGCAATGAAGGAAGTTGCTACTCATACAAAACTTACTCCAAATGAAAGATATCAAAATTCTGTTAAAAATTGCAAATTTTTAAGTAACAAAACAAGTTCCAGTGGAATTAAAATTGATGAAAAAAGCAATTTGATAGATGCTGTTTAATTAAGAGCTCCTAAAGTCACTTTAGGTGGTAATAAGACAGCTAATACAGAAAGAGGTAATTTTGACATGAGAGCTCCTACCTTAGATAAAATTGAGTTTAAAGATTGGTCTCTTATATGTAACAAAAAAGATGACTAAAGTGCAGATAATTTTATAGACACTCTTAAGAAGGCTTCCTAGACATTTGGAATTACTGTCAACGATCCTTGCTTTTTGGCCTAGAGAGACTGGAATGCTAATAACTGGATTAAAACTCTCGATGAAGACTTTTCCAATAATGGTTTACCTCAATTTGTTTTGAGTTTCGGTCAAGCCAATAGTGGTTTATACTCTGGTTTAAAGAGATTTTTAACTTCAGAAGTAGGTATAGAATCCTAGCATGTTAATCCAAGATCCCTCCAAAAGAACGGAATGAGTGTTGCTTCAAAAATTGCTCTGCAAATTGCCTCTAAACTAGGTAGAAGAATCTGGTAAGTTGAAACCCCAACTGGAATTGATAAAAACACCATGATTATCGGTATAGAGACCAGTATGAAGAAGATCAATAAATAATAGGTGATTGGTGTTGTAGCTTCCATCGACAAAGACTTTACCAAATACTTTTCTGATGTTGAAATTAGGAAAGAAAATGATACTACTTTCCCTACTCTCTCTAAGATTGTTACTAAAGCCATATAAGCTTATATTAAAAATACCAAAGTTGTTCCTGCTGAAGTGATTGTTTACAGATAAGGGCTTGGTGAAGGTTAAATTCAATAGAGTTGTAACTTTGAAATTAAGGCCATTTAGAATGGTTTTAGCAACTTTAAGAAAGATTACAATCCACGCTTAGCCTTTTTCTAGGTTAACAGAAAAATTGGCCAAAAGTTCTATCAATAGCCTTAAGGTGACAAATCAGAAGTTTCAAATCCTGCTTCAGGTACTATTGTAGCCTCTTAAGTTGTTTAGAACAACTTTGAATTCTTCATGGCTGCATAAAACTGTAATTCTGGTGTTTGTACACCCACTAAGTACACTTGTTTGTACAACAACACCAACTTAAAAGAGGATCAAATCTGGTAATTAACTTATTATCAAACATTCAACTATTATAACTGGCAAGGACCTGTAAGAGTACCTGCTGCTATGAAGTACGCAGAAAAACTTGCTAAGTTTGTTAGTGACACTATCCAAGAATCTGCCAATGAAAACTTGGCTAACAGTCTTTTCTATTTGTGAGATAATAGAAAAATGTAGTAGTTAAATTAATTAATAATATGCATTTATATACCTTTTTGTATTATATATTTTTCCATATATTTGTATATTTGAAATTAATTTCTTTACTACCCTAAATAAAACTTTCATTTTATTCTTCTCATGATATCAAAATATCTAGTTATTTCATTTTATCTTTTTAATATTTTTTAGATTAATATTTGATAATATTCCCTCTTGAATTAAAATTTAAATTTTATAGAAACATCAAAATTAGTTAGATAAAATCCAATATAAATTTCATCATATTAGAATTAAAAATCTTAATTACATTTAAGAATTAATTTAAATCTTTTAGGAAGAAAAAATTTATTTTTAAAATTAAAATCATAGAATAAAATAATTGCATTACACTAAAGCGATAAAACCCATACTACATTATAATGTTTGTAAAATATTATTTAATTAAGAAGAAAATTAATAGTTTAACTTAATTTTAAATAAATGCTAAATAAGAAAACTTATTATAATTCGTGTATTTAGCCTTGAAAAAAGCAGTACCATAAGGTATTATATATATAAATAAATAAAAATAATATATAAATTTATAATAAGTGTCTG